ATGTTCATGTGCAAATTTGCTTTTAGTTTTTGGTATTTAACAAAGTGAAGATACCACATGAAGGCAGCATCACTGACGCTATTCCCCCCAACAGAGAGCCAGATAATAATTATTGTCTTGTTAATTTAAATCTACCAGGGTGATGACAAAAAAAGGCTTTACTGTAATCCAACTGTTATTTTTAATTTAAAAAGGTAAGAAATGCATCTTCAAACCTCTTGAAATTCGAGGTGACTGTCTCTCATTTTCATTTATTTTGTTTGTTGATTCATATTCTTTGTTCCCTATGTTGTATTTCATGAAGGTTGGAGCCAATGGTCTGATATGTCTCAAGCTTGTTGTTACAGCATATCACTGGTGGGGAAAAAAATGAATGGTACAAATACAACTAAATTCCTCCGTTAACAAAAGATGAAAAAAGAAAACAAAAAAACAAGCGCCTAACATTTAACAGTTCTAATCATAGAAGCATGATTCAATCATTGAACTGGGTCAACTTGGGAATACATTTACGAGAATAAAGGATATTACACAATAAGCTGGACGCATTTATTCAAGTCAGTAAACAAATTTGCTCTAAAGGAAAACAAAAACGACACAACCCAGAAACGATTATCCTGCTATCTGCACAGCTGTCAACATTTTATACAACCAAAGCAATTTAATATGTGAGAATAGCAGCCCTATAAAATGAACTCAGGTGTTCTTAAAATGATTTAACTTTGTTTGATCAACTCCAAGGTAAATGCATTTTAAAGCAATGTTCTTAATTTGCATGCCATCCACATTATTAACAAGCTTAAGCTTTATAAGGCATATATATGCCAGATTCTGGTGGGGAGGAGAAAGAACAAGATATAAGAGTTATGACAAGGTCGACCTAAAAGGATTAAATATTTTATGGGAATTATTTATCTGATGCAGTCTTCTTTGAAAATATGATTGCAAAACTATTTTAGAACACAAGGCACTTATTCACCCTTAGGACAAATATTCTTTTTATCATTTTAATAAAGTACAAATTTGCTTGATTGGAGCAAGTTCAGGTCCTCATAGCGTACATCCAGTACATAATAATGTGCTTTATCAGTGACCTGAAATAACTTAAAATCCATTAGGCATTAAAGGAAGTTTACAAGATGAGTGAGCTGCTCTGGATTGCAGTAAAAAGGGACAGAGAGGCTATATTTCAGACTTACTATTGCTTATTTCTTCCAGAGTATGTAGACATTCAGAGCAGGTGAACTGGAAACTGTAAAGTGCCCACAGGTTGGAATGTGTTTGTTCACGTGTTAGTCTGACCTGTCTGGGATGTTCTCTAGCCCGTTGCCTCGTGGGAAGCTGGGACTCGCTTCAGGAGCCCTCTGACAGGGTGGACCGGAATAAGAATGAGTAACTGGAATGCATGGATGGATTGATAGCCTTCACACTGAGAGACATGGCTGCATTCGTTGACACTGAGAAGGATAATGACTGTGTTAAGATGGGTCGTAGGACAGGTGTCCATTAGTGGCTGATGTCAGAGCACTTTCCCAGAGAGTCCTTGGGGAGAATACCTTTCAATTTTACATTCTCTGCATTTTTTCAGCAAATGAATTCAGTAAAAAAAGTGTGCCCTTGAATTTTATTACATGCTGTCAAATGTGGAAGATTTGCATTAACACCTTTCACCTTGTGTGTAGTTTACTGTTCATATCCCTTAGTGACATGCAAACATTTTCCTTGTCACAATATGTCTGTCTATAAAGACCTGCACTTTGTTTCATATGAATCAGCTCAAGCAGGGGTCTTCTGTATTTTTTTCAGCTCAGTACCCGAGACAGAGCATAGACCCCTGTACTGTGGGTGGGAAAGCAGTGATGGGCAGTAGAGCCGCTACATGTAGCGAAGCTATTAGTTTAACTATATTTTCCAGTAGCTTGACCGTAGCGTTGCTGCTTTATTTATCAAGTAACTTTCCAGTAGTGACGTTATTGTTTTTATCAAGTAGCGACGTAGTGTCCACAAACGCTACAAAATCCAGGGCAAAACTAAGTAATTATTCTATTCTGCCTCTTCTGTCTGTGTCTACGAAACATGCGCATGCGTACTGCAGTGGAACTCAAAGAATGACACACACAGACACACGCAGACACACAGAGCCACACACAGGATCGCTACCACACCGTGGCCTTATCTTCAGAAATTTTGAAACTTGTTGAATCCTCTGATAAAAAGTACGTGTTCAGATGTTTTAAGGCTTATTTGCACAGATAAGATTTTTTAGGTATGGAGGAACAGCTCTCCCATGTATAAAAATAAATAAATGCTCAATAAATAAATAAGCATTCAATTAATTACCCCCCAAAATACAATGAATAAATATGTAGGTAGAAATAAAATTATACAGTGAGACATAAATGTATATATATCTCTTAATTAGCTTCTTTACTTTTTCACCTTTTTTGTAAACAGTTTCATTTGTTACTTGAATCGACTGTTTAATTGAGGTCTAAAGAAGTTTTCTCTAAGGGAGACCCTAAAGAAATAAGGGTTTTGTTTTCCCTAGAGATGTCCATTGAATGTAAACTCATAGCCATGTCTCGATGTGTAGAACACTACACAGTACCTTTAATTTAGTTCTAATAACAGCAGATTGTTTATTTTTTTGTCTACTAGTAATTACTTTAGTTTATTTTAATATGCTAATCATAAAGCAATGTTTACACTGTGTTATGTCATTGGCTGATCTTTAATAAATATTTTAACCAGTGTATCAGACTCATTTTGAATTGATATTAGGTTGGTACGTTTAGTAGCTTCTGATGTAGTTAAGCTACTTTTAACACATTAGTGTAACTTAGATTGCTATAATTCTTTAGGTGGTAGCTTTTGTGTAGTGAAGGTTAATTTATTGTTGAGTAACTGATAGCTTAGCTCACTACACTGGACAAGTAGCTTGCCCAACACTGAGTCAAAGATATACCCTGATAAGCTCAGAGGGTTTAATCCTAATGGCCTTAAAATATAAAACAAAATAAATAAAAAATACCACCACAGTTTTCTGGTCCTGATACAAACATTAACCTGTGTTGACCACACTATGCCTGATTATTTGGTGTTAAAAAGAAGTTAATTTATTTATTTTTTCCCATGCCTTGCTTGGCCTGTCAATGGGCCCTCTGGGCATAAGGGGTCTGCAGGTCCCCAGTCATGTGCCCATTCTAAGCAGATGTGGGTTGTCAGGGCCTTCAAGGCCTTCACTGATGGCCTAAAATAAACCTTTCAACTCTTACCTACATTCACAACCTAAACCTTTATTTTTCTTCTATCAAACTGTATAAATTTACTCCAAACAATCCATTCTCTTAATATTGAAGCATTTCTTTTATGTGGTTGCTACAGTTATGTCAAATCACATTTGAGCCTCAGCGCATTGCCTTGTGATGAACGGTTTGTAATGAAACTGAAATCTCGATTGCAATGTAGATTATAGTTGACCATAAAGTTGACTGATTGATTGCTATGTCAATCAAATATGCCCAAGGCCTTCAGAATCAGCAGTGCTGCACCATGTTAACTAAACAGTATTAGTGAGGAATGTTTTCTTCAACCAATCAGATTTCAGATTTCCCCCACCCTAATGTCACCATTTTCTGTCCTCTGATTGGTGTGTTAGAGCAAAAATGTTTACAGGCAAGTTAAGCTAGTGACAATCTGCATTCTAGATGAAATACTAAGACTTCCTGCATAAAGACAGAAGGACGGATTTTGTTTATAAATAATCAGCATCAGTGGTGAGCGTGATATATAGTTAATTTGACATGTTTTATGCACTATTTTATCTGGTAATTAGATGCATATTAAATCTGAATGGCTACTGATGATGTAAATGTTGCGGAGCTGTGGTTATAGAGTAGAGGATTGCCATTATCTTAACTGGTCTTCTTGCTAATTGATCTCTGTATTCACCCTCACAATAATCTTCCTCTAAGTTATACCTGCATCTGATACATTTCATTCTGAATATTATAGGTGGTTTCTATTATTAAAATGTGAAAGTGGTGATATTAACCCCTTGACACCCATTGTTGAAAATATGCAGTAAACCCTTTGTATTACCAAGATAGCATCTGTATGTCTCATTCCTTTGTGTTTTTTTATGTGATTAACCCGAACAGAACAGTAGTTGTGAAGTGAAATGAAAGTATGAAATGCTTTTACAGTTAGGTCCCTCTGACTAGTCCACCTATCAATACAAAAAAACTGTCTGTGATTTGGGCTGTGTGTCCACCAACATTTTACATCCAGGGGACTAAAGTTTTTGTCTCATCATTCTTAGCAAAACACTTGTCATGCTACAAATAATAAATTTGATTACATGGTTGGTGTGAGGCATGGCTGTTGAGTCAATGAGTCAATGCAATCAGCTGGTTTTCCTTAGATAGAAAAGTTTGAACCAATCTGACTGTATGATCCAGTTGATCTGTCTCTGTAAAGTACCTTGAGAGGGCATGTGTTGTGAATTGGTGCCATGAAGAAAATTAGTTGAATTTAACTCAGGACTTTGATCTAAACCATTTTATTTAAGGTCTGACCATATGTTAAAGATCATTGTCCTAGTGGTAGATAAAAATCTCTTCCAATCTAACAAATTAGCAACTCCTGCCAGGTTTTTCTCTTGTATTTCTATAACTCCATCTTTCCATAAACTCTAGACCGTTTTGCTGCCCCTGCTGAAAGGAAAAGTCTCTTCACAGCATGGTACTGCCACAACGATTAGGCTTTGGCAACATACTTTATACTAATTACAGAAACAGACATTAAAAGGCAGTCGAAAGAGAGCATACATTTTAAAACATTGATGCAAAGCAAGGAAAGACAGCAGAGCAAAATTATTGGTAGAAATTCAAAATACATGATGAACTATTTCCATGATGTGTGTTTTTCAAATAAGCTTTAAAAATGAGTAGTTATTAGAAAATATTCATAGAATAATTGAATTATCAAGCAAATATCTCTCAGGCTGTGTGCAGGACGTGGGTGAACAGATCGCTCCAAAAAATCCCAAGCATGTGCCAGCGAAAATAATAAAAGCTATAAAAAAAAGTGTTCACAAAGTAATTGTGTCACTTCGTGTGCCTGCATGTGTGGGATTCGACAGAAAAACAATGTAAGAAGCACACAATGACACATAGACATACTGTAGTTCGGTATCATCCAAAAAACAAAAAGAGAGAAACAGACAGGCTATGAATGCATTGCTTCACTGGCTCTAAATAATAAATGCAACAGCTTTGATTCACAGCCAATTGCGGCCGACTCTCACGCAGCACAGGTGAAGGCGTCAAGAGAACACATGAATTTTTCTCTGATTCCTGCAGCTTATCGAAGATCCAGGGGGATTGGTGGTGGATTAGTGCTTGTTTACACCAGGATAAGCATAATAGAGGCATGTGTGTTCTTCAAAAAAATCTTGTACAATTATTTTTAGATGCCCCTGGAGAGGTGTTGTATGAACTATAAATGCAAAGTAAAGTGAGGGATCATTGCCTCTCTGTTATTTATAAAGGATTAATAAATGCTTTAAATATTCTTTAATAGTCTGCCCAATTGACTATTTGTACCCTTCCCAGCTTGTTGTGGGCTCAGATCCGGTGGAGGTTCTATTTGTCCGTATGGCTCTCCGAGCTCTGAGGGACACCAGGTTCAACAACCTTTCTAACTCATCCCCAGAGCCGGTCAGACCAGCAGGGCTGAGCCCTTCCTGATCCTCCTGTGATCCCCTCCATTGCCCCTCTTGTAAATCCCAGGCCCTCAAAGGGGGCAGGAGTTGAGCCGGGTGCAGGTTCAGGCCTGGAGGGCTTGACGGATATCCCTCATAGGCTCTTCGAGTTGGGGGTAGAGTGTCATAAAGAGTCTCTGAGTCTTCATTTGGCTCTGGATCATGGCTATCCTCTCTGTACTCCTCGTAAATAGGTGAAGAGTTTTCTTCGACACTGTCACAGCCTTGCAGCTGCAGATGTTCTCTATGGTGCACTGCCACATTCCTGCCTCTCGTCTCTGGTTTCTTCCCATCCCCTTCATGCCTCCTCCTTTCCCACTCGCCAGACTGGTTTCTCTCCCACTGGAAGGTCCTCCTCCTGTTCTCCTGGTCCCACTCCTGGCCTCTGTCATCACTACAGCTCATCATCGTGGAGTCAAGCTGCAGGGAATGTGTGCTGCCTCCACGCCTGATGTTCTGCTGGGCATCACCAAGGTTAAGACGCGATCCCACCTCTGTTGGTTGCAGCCGCGACGGTGACAGCCAGCTCAAACTTTGAAAGGAAGTCTCCCACCGGTATGCTGAAAAAAGAAAAGGAAGAAAAATGCATCTATAGGTTGTTTGGAAGCCTTTTACAGACAAGAAGTATTATTTTAATGAGCAGCTCAAGTATTCAAGTTCACACGCTGCGTTTTGAGCCCACGGCTCCACTGCATGAAAACTAATGATGCTAAACTGCTTTAGGCATGAAGACCTTACTTTAAACAACCTCTTTCACTGTCTTTTGAATAGTGTGAGAAGGAATGACATGATCGGTTTAATAGGTTTCACATCAGTAAAAATTAGCTACGCTTTGCAAACCATTTTATAATCCTGACAACAGGAGGTGGAGTGAGGTGAGCCAAGCAATAAACTGCAATGCTTTGCAAATGCATTCATGCATCCTTTTTTTTCCTTACATCTTGTCCTGTTGTTAGCACAGGATTCATTGTAACCTAATAGGATTTTATGTCTTAGATCAAGAAAAAGCAATGCTTAATTGCAAAGCGAAAGGAAGATTATACATGCTTGATAGAATCTAAAAGTGTGGCAATCATTTATTTATTTTTTTTAAGTTTTGCAGTCAGTTTCACAATGGATATAAGTCTGCATTTTAACAAGGCTATTTTAATGTTTTACGGTATGTGTACAACTAATATTTGTCCGATTGACAGATTAGCTCTGCATTACCTCTAGAGTTACCATAGGGCTCCCTAAGAAAATTTACTTATTTTTCTTTCCTAAAGATTTTATAAAACAAACCATACTTTTTTCTTTCACTTACCAACTATGAACTTTGTATTATTCTAATACTATTAACAATTTTAACCAAGTCTATCATATTTAATACATGTTTTTGTAAAACCTGTGCATCTTTAGTGTGATATTTCTGTTAATGAAAGCCCAGAATTTGACAATCAAACACATGTAGTGAACAGAACATCTTTAGTAGATTATACAAAAATGCTTTATGTATGACGAAAGATGCGAATAAATGATCTTATTTAACAAAAATTCTGCATTGTTTTTTTATTTTTTTATTATTTTCATTTGTCAGGATATCTAATGATAACTCTAGCTTGAAAAAAAAAAAATGTGAATTTTCTGAAAATTATTTCACGTTCCAGGCTGCAAAGGGTTAATATAGTCAAACTAAAGTTTTGGTTTTCTCCCTGTTAAAATGTACCTAAGTTGACTGAAAACACATATTTTATTTAAATTTTTTTTTTTTTAATTACAGATTTCTTTTAATTATATATTTTAATTCCTCTGCAATCTGAGCTCGCTTCATCCAATGGTGTTGGACTTAATTCTATTCCAGTCCAATTTCTGTTGCAAAAGGTTTTTATTATTTGACTGGTAATGAATATCAACCTTCATGCTTCATGTTCGTTGTAACCTAGCCTCTTAGACAAGACTGAGAGAATTCCCCATACGTTGTCAGATAGGAGGAGAAGACCCTAATATTAATTGTTGTTTTGAAACATTAATTATTATTGCATGTTTATAGCTCTATATCTCTGCTTATCCTCTTAAAAACAATTGTGTTGTAAAGTTTACATACCCTCCCATTAATATTATGATAAATTCACTCTAGGATTCCAAATAACACAAAACTGAAAGAAGTAATAATAAATAGAAATGTACTTAATGATTATTTCTGTATAATAAAATAATGATTTTGAATTTTTGTTTAAAAAAAATCTAAAATATATACTGTGCAAGACAAATTAAAGCACTTTGCTCATGAACACATGAACCAACATACAACAGGTGCAAAAGTCTGACTGAACATTTACTAAACATTACAGGAAACATCTGATTTCAGTGATGGACTCAAAATGTTGCTCGACAAAACTTTAGTTCCGGAGCTCCATCACGCATGTTTACTTCTTTTACACTATTTATTTATATAAACATTTGTATGTATTTATATATATTCAAAATCAATTTCAGATTTTTCATTATTATCATAATTTTTCATGTATCATTACCTTTGTCAATTTCAATTTATTTTAATGACCATTGTTTTCTGTCTTTAGTGGAAGGTTATGTAAACTTTCAAGTATAACTGTAATTTCAGTACTATATAGTAATTTTCTTAACCATTTAATTAGCCTGCCTGGAAATTTCAGCTGTGTTTACCTCAAATCAGAATATTTATATATGGACAAATAGGAATGAGTCAATAAAATGCAACATTTCGAAATCTTGCCCTTCATGGAAATAAGTTGTTCAGATAGAACAACAACAGGAAAGCACAACTCCCTACAAACTACGGCATGCAGGTTGCATAATTCATGATTTGGCTAATGAGCTGTGAGTGAAAAGGTATCATATCGATGAAGTGAAGGGAGCCAGAGGGGTCAGTCTCTGTGTGGGATAACGTGTTCACTTCATTAGTGTCCTGGAGAGTGCCAGCTCCTGGGGTGCTGTGCAAGACACACACGGACAAGAGGTGTTTACTAGACTCCCATGCCAACAAACCAGAAAACATTTGGGACTTTTTCGTTTCTCTGCATGCCACGCTGCTGGAATATCTAGGTTTCTGCTTGGAATATCTTTGAATAAAAGGGGAATAAATAAATAAATGCATACTCTTACAGTCCACAGTGTACTGTTTGATGAATTCTACACAAATCTCATCCTTGCTCTGCAGGTGGTTCCTTGCTATTGGTGAAATGGAAACAAAAACAAAAAGATCTCATCGGACAGAAACACTTGATGCAAGTCTCAAAAAAAAACCCTACAGTAAACAAGGAAAAAAAAACATGGTGCAGTACAATAAAGAAATGAATGAAAATTGGAACATATCATAAATATAAATTGGCAAAATCCACAACAGGTGTAAATTAGGACTGCAGATAATCATTTTACGAAATCATTTATCAAAATCTTTTTTATTTATCAATCAATCAATAAAAGATTCTTTCAGTCACTATTCCTCAATGTGGAAATGTTTTGAGCTCAAAAAAGATTTTAAAGGAATTCCAAAGGGCAATGCATGAAAATAGCAAGGTAGGAACATGGTTGTGTTACAGCAGTTTTTTATTGTTCCTTATGGTTAAGCTTGGTGATAGTGGTTGCTTATTTTTAGACTGTGAAATAGATTATGCTTTCCCTTTAAAAACAAATAATTTCAATAAAAATTAAATAATTGAAATAAATTGTTTAAACTATATAGTGGCTTTTCATGAACAAATGATAGAAAAAGTAAGCAAGTGAGAAGTGATTAGATCAAAAGTACAAACATATCATCTACATATCTGGCATAAAAGTCAAATGCACCATTAAGAAGGTTTGCCGTATTCTCTGTTACAGGAAAACTACTCAACATATGGCACTTTAAATCTGTATTATAAATGTTATTAAGGTTAGTATTTTCCAGCAATATCTTGTTTCATAAACAGCCGTGTAATACTTTATTTATTTTTATTCATCCCTGAGTATAAGAAAGAAAACTGCCAAAAGATGCAGCGACTACTTGAGGGAAGTCCACCTTCTGTTTTTACTGCAGCAGTGTGAGCTGTAACTCTGTAGTATATAAACAGATGATTTACTCTAATAACAATCTAAGTAAATACATTCAAACAAAGGTAAAAATATTTTATGTAGTTATACCAGCCTTTAATAGGAAATGTTAGATGTTTAGATGTTACACAAGATCAAGCCATTATGCAGTAAATGGAAAAAAATCTGATATGTGAATTCAAATCACTGTGCAGAGAAAAAATAGAATTTTTGAATCACTAAGATTTTAAAAACTTTAAAACCTGCCCTGATAAGTGATGTAGAATCTTATTATTATTATTATTATTTTTTTTTTTATATACCTTTTACCTAAAATGCTGGATAGGGTTAGGGTTAGGGTCTTATATTTTGGATAAGAAATGTATCACCACTGAAAGTTTTTCAAAGTTTATAGTTTGATCAATATTTTTGTAAAAAAAAAAAAAAAAAAAACATTTACTGAGCAATGTGCAAACTATGAACATGCATGGGCATGTTCTCACTTGATGGTTTCAGTTTGGGTTTCATTCCATATTCAGTCTTATATTACATTTCCTCAGTCGTTCATAAAATACATTCAAATTCCATGTAATCCTTGGTTTTACAATTCTTTTTCATTTTATGTATAGTTTTGTTCTGTACTGTGGAACATACTTCCCTTTTCAGCACTGGCCTTTGTAAAAAGCATTTTTTTTCATCAGACGGTTATCAATAAGTGACCACTTACAACACTCTTCTATACTGACAATTTTGGTGCATGAATTACCTGAAAAATCGTAATCTGTGATGGAAAAAGGCAACTTCAGGACAAACATAATAACACATATGTTATATGTAAATTTGCAAAACCTTATATGCTGTCATGTGTAGCTCCTCTGGGCTTAGACATGTTAGATTTATTGGGATTGTAAAGGCTGATGGCTTTATATCTAGCATAAATCTTTTGTAATTGTACCTGCATTGACGGTACTGTTACTCTTGTTATTCAGTAATTTCTAGGGTGTTTTCAACTAGTTCAGTTAATTAAAGCTAATTATGAGATCAGTATATCCCCTTTTTAGTCTCTCTGACCTCTTTCATTTACTGTACAGCTAGTCAAAACTTCCTGAAATAATTAGCCTCTGTAACCATCTCATTGAGACTCAGAATTTGTTCTGCTTTTCTTTTATATACCATACAAGCTGAATAGTGAATTCTATTGAATAGGCTTTAAAAAAAAAAAAAAACTAAAAATAACAAATGTCCTTCTTAGTTTCTTTTATTATCCGTAGCTGTAAGTCCTGTAGTGTAAGGGATAAAACTCGCTTTATATTTTCATTACTAAGAATTTGAGTGACGCAGATAAAAAATAATGAACATGTAGCTTCTTGCATGTGTGGTCTCATTTCATAGGCAGTCTTTATTGTATAATGCTTGGAGTTAAAGGCAACAGTCCACTAGGTCAGATAATAAATGCTTTTTACAGTAGCCAAGGGAATAACGGAAACTACGAAAAAACAGACTTTCTAAATACAAGACTATTAATACTAACTCTAAATCTGCAGCACAGGCAGCAGACGGAGACTTCATCTTACTCTGTAGGTGTGAAGCTTGTGTCTGTTTGTAGGGGCAACGCATTTGTTAATTTGGAGAGAAAAGTGAGTGGTCAAGCTGTGACGGATGCCCTATTTAGAGTGAGAGTTTAAGCTTCGTTTTTCTACAATGCACTGTGCATATGTGAGCCAATATACTTGGCTCAAAGTGCCTTTAAGATCCCGAGAGACCATCTAAAAGGCTGAGGTGAAAGCTTTGCCTTGCTTAAAAGGATAATTAACAATTAAATAATGTATCCTGTGGAAAACATAAACTCATGTTTTTGTTTTGGGGTATAGATTTTATGCAAAAACATGGTGAGAGTAAATGATTCAATTTTGAGACAGGTAACAGTGTTCTGTTCTACTCTAGATATGAGCTATTCATCTACAATATGGTTTCAAATAACTCCACAGAAATAGTACTCCCAAAGCGTGAAGGCTTTTTTAGACAGACAATGCAACCCACCTGGAACAGGAAAAATTGCCAACAGCAGCTTGAGTAAAGTAATAAATAGTCCAAGGTGGTTACCCGTCCCCAAATCCGCCTGAACATCTGTGGGATGCACCGGAGCTAAACCAATACCACCCACCCACAGTCAAGATGCCTTGCCAACTGCTCCACTTCAGAAAGCACTGAAAAAGCCAAGAAATCCCATCTACATGACAAGATGAGTTGAGCTGTTTTGGTGAGATGAGAGGGAACCTTCGACGAGGAGGCTGGTGCTTTTCATTTTCAGTAGCCGATTGGAACAAAAGGCAGAAATAATGATATAGCTGTAATAGGATTTATTTTTTTTTAAGATCTAAAATGTATTGTTGCATCTAAGCAAATTCAAATATTCTGAAGCAGTTGGTCATTATACAAGATAAAGAAAAAATTGAGTTATAATACAGATATATTCTGTTATGGCCATAAAATGCCTGGAAAATAGTTTAACCTGAAAAACTCACAAAGAGGAAAGCAATTAGACGAGTTTTATTGAAACAAATTTTAAGGCTTTGGGGCTTAGGCCTCGGTGGGGTGCATTAACAATGAATTATACTTTGATTAAATGCATGAGCTCCTGAATGGAAAAGGACGAAGCCCCCAAGGCCTGAAACTGGTGGTTAAAATGAACATGGATGCCAACTGGAACAAGGCGCAGGTTCGTAAGAACCAGCATAATAAGCAAGCATAAAGCGACAGTGGAGAAGAAAAACTACATTTGGGAAAACTCTCTGGCACAACCAGGCTAAACATGGCGGTCTTCTGGCACACCGGCTGGAGATGCTTTGTGAAAGCGGTCTGAGTCTAGGGAATTAAAGTATACAAAATTGCTAAAAGTACCAAATAAATGGGAGCAAAGTTATAATTACAGAGTAATATACACTTTTAAATGAAAAATCTAAAGTTTCATGTTCACAGCTTCCAAAATATTTTGAAGAGTTGATCCATTTTATTTTTGCTTGATGCTATGTTTTTTTTTTCCACACTTGAATATACTCCAAATTGTGAGACATCTTTTCCACAATTGCTGATAATCTGGGAACTATGCCAAATGTTGGTATCAATAAATTGTCTTTTTTTTTTTAAGTCTATTGTCTACCCACCTGTCTGGCACAACATTTCAGAGCTATTCTTCCCTCCCTTTGCTGACAAGCTTTATGGAGAAACCGATTTCTTTTTACAGCAGGAGCATGACCTGAGCAACTGCCAAAAGACACAATGTATTGTATTGCTGTGCTTGCTTGGCCAGCAGCTGGCCTGGGCTAACCCCTATAGTGAATCTATGGTGTATGGGCAAAGAAATGAGGGACATCAGAACTAACAACACAGAAAAGCTGAATGTTATTATTAAACTAGTCCTACTTGTTAACACCTCAGCAGAAGCACAGGCTCAATTTTTCCATGTATTCCAATTGATGAAGTAATTCATGCAAAAGCCTGAGTTAATATGCAGTAGAATGAGATGTAGGATATAAGTTACTATCTCAGTATATAAAATATAGTAGACTTTGTCAATTAGACAGCTGCAGCTGACCCCCTCTTTACTAAAACTAAGAAAACAGAGTACATCACTCCTGTCCCTGTATCTATGAGAATAAAAGACTAATGATGGCTTTGAACCAAAACACACAACATTTTTTTGTGTATCAATGGCCCAGAATTCTCAGTCCAGACTTCTCAGGTCCTTTAGATCAATTCAACTCTGCAGACTTATGCTAAGTTTACACCACACGTGACATCAGCAAAAAAGCACCTGCTGCTTAATTTTTTAAGCTGGTACACATTAAGGTCAGATACCCCTCAACAGCATCATTGATGGTCCTGAAGCTTGTCCCGTAAAGTGTGCACAGATGCATGTGATGCTTGTTTTGCTGCTCCTGCTTCTATGTCAGAGAGCGGCTTTGCTATATTTTCTGTGATCAGTGGGTAAGAAGTAGCTTTAATATGTTTTTAAGTCCATCTCAAAGCATTGGCTTGGCAGTCAGTTCATCAACATTATGATCCTGCCTTGAAATATTGTTTCGCTGTCGGAGGCATGCAGAACCCTACATACCGGCGATGCGCTGTCACTGAGAATCCAGCAACAACTGCCTCAGTCGGTAGCCTCTTGGGGGTTTTTCCCCTGGTGTCCGTGGCGGCTAGAAGTAGATTTTAGCGTTTTTCAGGTATTTAGTACAAACTGCAGGCATCAGAATAATAAAATTGAACATATTTTGCCAGCAGGTTTTGACATTTTAAGTTAATTCAAGCATTAAACTGTTTCAAGGGAGTGATCATAGTGCTCTACATGAGCAGCACTGTGTCCATCTCCCTGCCAGCTTACAGATCAGCTTCTCTGGTTGGTTGATGTGGCACATAAAGCAGCAAAAGTAAATTTTTTCAAATTCCAGCGTCTTGTGAAGCGCTGCTTGTGAAGGGTAGCACGCACCTCGGATGCTCAGAAGCTCATGAGGCGCTGCTTCAGCTGCTCAGATGCATCAATATGCGCTGCTCCTGCTGCTCTAGACGCACTGCAGTATCTTTATGATGCGCCTTGGTGCTCGTCAACCATAGACTTTGCATGTAAACCAGCTGTTTCTGCTGCTCAAAGCACCTCCATTTTCAATGTAGAATTAGAACAGAACCAAATGGAAAAATTTAAAGTGCTGAAACCTTAAGATCCTTTAAATATTCCTTGTCACGTACCGTGATCTGACCAGTTTCTTCCCCAGTAGCTCACTTTCGTTGTATACTTGCCGAAGCTGGCAAGTTGATGGATGCAGTAATAAGCACTGCCATTAGATTGCGACGTCCTGCAATAATATTTATGTCTACCAGTTGCAATTAGTGCAAAATTTATTGTTTAGGTTAAGAAGGACAAAGTAAAGTCTATCAGGACAGGCGATTGGTGTAGATACTGGTTTATTTCAACATTAATACATGGTTTTCGGTGATTTTGGTATAGATATAGTACATGATGAGGCCACTTTAACTCAAGGTTAAAAACCTTTTTGTTTCCTCTGACTATTCTATAGATAATTCAGAAACATCATAATTTCAAGTTTGTAGCCTAGCTTTTCTTTTTCTGCATAATTATGCCACCACAATATCTCATTCTCAGCCTGTTTTTCTTTTCTTATGTCATTTTTTTTGAAAAGCAATTTGAATTGCCTTTTTAAAGAAAAGTGCTACGAAAATGAGAGCAGCTTTCTAAGAACCCTGACATTTTTATAGATAGTTTCTAATAAGGTCTAATTTTGGGTTTTCATTAGCTGTGTACCATAATTATCCTCAAATTAAGTAAAAATCATAAAATACATCACTGTGTTTGATAAAGCTTTATATAAGATTCACCATTTGTATTGAAATATTCATATTGTTATGTCTCTAAATATATTCTAATTTAATAAAATCTTCTAGAACCACAAATTAAAACACATCTAGTTGTTAGTTTGATTACTATTGCCCCTGATACATTAAAACGTCAAGCAACCAAAATATATCTATAAATTGGCATGAACTAAATCTGCTAATCTGTCATGTATTGGGTGCAACAAATACGTTCATAGAGTATAATGTAAAGAATACAATAGGTTTGGTTTAGGATAAAGGCTCAGTGAGGGTAGACGGAGGGATGGGTTTTTAATAAGATGTTTTTCAGCTGCTTTGCATCTCACTCACCCGGGCTGTTCCACTGCTGTTCTTTGTCCATGTTTGACACTTCAAAGGGAGAGAGAAAGCCAAAGTCAGAGGAAGCCAGAGACAAACAACACAGGAACCAAAGAGGGAAAATTGAAGTAGAGAGAGGCGCAGTGTCAGAAACTGACAGAAATATTGAAAATCTAAGCAGGATGTTTTATTCTTAATAAGAACGGGGATTCAAGTGCACAGGCTGGGCTGCTTTTAGCACACTGTATCTTTTTGCGTTTTCTGCTGAACAAAGAGTTTGGCATCAAAACAGAGACACAAAAGAGAAAGAAGAGTTAACAGAAGATGTTCTTTCATACCTTCACTTTCAATATCATCAACAGCATCATTGACTAGCCGTATGACAGTGACTATGGATGCTAGAAGGGAAACACAAAGAGAAAAACAGAAGGACAAGCAACCTCAGTGCATTATTGATTATGTGCAACTGTAATATAGAAAAATATATTTTAAGCTGCGGCACACATGTTGAAAACACACACACATACCGTATATATATTGTTGTTGTTTATGTTACGTTTTAGGTCTGTATTTTTGTATGTTTTGATATAGGAAAAAAATTCAGTTTTGAGCCATGCTATGAATTTACTGTAGGTTAAGTTTAGGAATATACTGGTTAGGGTAAATGTCAGGTGTAGCAATAAATGTAATACTTACAATAGATCTAAGTCAATGTTAAGTCTTCATATGGCTAGAAATACACACCTGTGTGCGTGTGTGTTTTTGCCTTTGGGTGTTGGGAAAACAAGGTTTTTTTTAACACAGTTACACCACTTAGACAAGAAAAACAACATCGTCAACACCTGGTTCTCCTTTCTAAAAAACAGAACATCAGTTAGATGCACATAAGTATGATCAATACTGTGCCTGACTTATACTAACCTATACCTGGCTAATTAAATGCACAAGTTAATAAATTAAATGGAGGAGACAAAACAGATAATTATAGTATTTTAATGCAGCATAGTTAGGATGCAACTCATGAAACATAATTTTATTTTACTGAAACCATTTCAAATCATTGCTAGTTGTCAAGTGCTGTTAAAGTGTGAATTGTAAACGTGATTTCTTGAGTAAACTTGCAAAATCAAATGTTACTATTTTAAGAGGTTTGCTGCAGGCCGTTCTCATCCCAGCTCTTTGTGTGATTTAAGCTTCTACCGAACAGAATTTGCTCACATGAGAAAAATGTCATTGTGGACATAAAAAAAAAAAAAATCTCTATCTTTGGTTGTCTTTCACATCAATCAGGTGAAATTTATGCAGGCAGTTTATGAAGCTAGAGCAAGAAGAGGAAAATATAGGTTAGACGTCTAGAAGGGAGCACTGACAAGCAACAGTCAGAATCTGCATGACAATATCTAAAAATCTGCTTTTGCACAATCTAGCTTTTTATGGTCCATTGTAATCATTACCCAGAATTCAAGTTGAGCTTTTTAAAATATGGCAGAAAAGGAGTAAATGACCCTTCATCGCTTGAGATGCTGGTTTGGGGTCTTTTGTGACCTCTTCAGTCAAGTTATCTTTGCGCTTTTAGAGTATTTTTTGAGTAATTTGAAACTTTTGCTTTTTGACTCCAAACCGTTGAAAATGGTTTTGTGACCCTTATTGATTTGATCATTACCCATATTTATACTGTTGTCCCTGCTGCCTTCTGGGAAGAGGCTTCGCAGCATTCAATGCAGGTTCAGCAGATTCCAAAAGAGTTTCTTCCCCACTGCCATCAGACCGCTGAATATAAAAAAAAAAACTCCAAATCATGTCATAGACTCTGCATGAAACCGACCATATCATACTTTTTTTTTTTCCCCACAATGTACATTTAATCTCTGCTGCACTTTAAGAAAATTGAAATGTCATGAGAGCTGAACTAAACCAAATTTCGTTTTGTAAACACTCTGGGCCGGATTTATCAAAGGTTTGCGTGTATAAAAACGTGAGCTATTTCACTGCGCACGCTAAAAAATGTACAAACTGATCTATCAACAGTGTGCTAAAAGGATTTGGTTTTTAAAACGTGCTAAATAGCGTCTCTTATCCATTTAGTACTTTTTCTGCAATGAATATGCAATATGGGGCGTTTACACGCAAAAGTGCGTCTTGTGGGAGGAGAACATGTAAATATATTAATTTAGCACTCGCAAAGTGATTTATCAAACCTGAAAGCAATTTTGCTAACGGTATCTGACTCTATATTTAACACTTTTCAAAAGAAGGTGCAAATGGTCTGTATGCGTAATTGCGCACAGACGGCAGCGGTTATTGTCGCAAGAAGGAGACATCGAAATGAAGCAAGGAGACGCAGAGAACGCATTTTTTCACTCCGTGTGAATATTTTTGGAATGAACGAGGAAACGATCATCAAAACATATAGTTAATCCAGCATTGCCATTTTGGAGCTGTTGGGGGAACTCCGAATGGATTTGGAGCCAGCCACAAGGAGGACCCACGCAATACTAGATATTACAAAACTCCTTGCAACATTGCACTTTTTTGCATCTGGGATCTCCCAATCTCGTTTTTCAAAAGTGCTGTCCGACGTTCTAAATACCATGTCGCCCTGACGCCCTACCGGAGAGAACCCCGACCTCTGCGCCTGTGGAGCAACATGCCAATGCTGCGGGGATGCGTAGGCACAGTCATCTTATCCACAGTCCCATTTTGAGCCATTTGGTGTGTGCATTTCTCTACAGGCCAATACAAAAAAACCTGTTTTTTTTTTACTGCAGTGAAGTAGAAATTCAGCCACATACCACCTTAGGGAATAAAAGTTGCCAAAGTTTATATACCCGGTATATATACAATATATATATATATATATATATATATATATATATATATATATATATATATATATATATATATATATATATATATATATATGTATATATATATATATATATATATATATATATATATATATATTTATTATTTTATTTTTTGGAGGGGGTGGGGGTGTCACTGTAAGATTAAATTTCTTAATGCACTTTGCCGCAAACCACAAAACGCGCAAAACCATCATTTAAATAGGGCGTCTCCAACAGTTTTGCACCTGCCACCAGTTACGCGATCGCTCTTCTTAAATCACCAGCCCCTCGCGCAAAATTCCAGTTTGCGAGCGCAAATTACTGCACGCAAAATTGGATCTTGATAAATCCGGCCCATTGAAATGAAGCAAGGAGACGCAGAGAACGCATTTTTTCACGCTGTGCGAATATTTTTGGAATGAACGAGGAAACGATCATCAAAACAGATCGTTTATCCAGCATTGCCATTTTGGAGCAATGCTGGATATGCTGTCCGACGTTCTAAATGCCATGTCGCCCTGACGCCCTACCGGAGAACCCCGACACCCTGCGCCTGTGGAGCAACATGCCAATGCAGTCATCTTATCCACAGTCACTTCTTGTGAGCCATTTGGTATGTGCATTTTTCTACAGGCCGATACAAAACACCTGTTTTTTTTTTTTTTTTTTTTTTTTTCTTACTGCGGTGAAGTAGAAATTCAGCCACATACCACCTTAGGGAATAAAGGTTGCCAAAGTTTATATATATATATATATATATATATATATATATATATATATATATATATATATTTCTTTTTTTGGAGGGGGTGGTGTCACTGTAAGATTAAAATTTCTTAATTTGCCGCAAACCACAAAACGCGCAAAACCATCATTTAAATAGGGCGTCTCCAACAGTTTTGCACCTGCCACCAGTTACGCAATCGCTCTTGTTAAATCACCCGCAAACCATGGTTCAGCCCCTCGCGCAAAATTCCACTTTGCGAGCGCAAATTACTGCACGCAAAATTGGATCTTGATAAATCCGGCCCTCTGTGCATACAAAATGACAAAAAATGTGTAAGTCATATGTGTTTGTTCTTGTTCTTATGTTCTTATTTTGCAATTTCTTTAGATCTAGGAATTAAGTTTTACTTGTTAAGATCGTTAAACTTACTTAAAGTTGTCTGCAAGGTTCTATTTATTTTAATTCTATATGTCTGGCAGTAAACAGGCCTGGATGTAGCTACTGAAACAGAATAAAAAAAAGTGCCAAGTTAATAAACAAAGGGGGCCTGGTTGTTGTTTACTAAGTTTTGTTTTCTCAATAAATGTTTCTTTTAAAATTTGTGTACTGGATTTTGCTTACTCTTGTTTTTTCTTTCATGAACACCAAAGACCAAAAGACGTCTAATAGGGGACAAATACTTTATACAGATGTTAGTGAAGCATTAGGACGCACAATACATTGGCAGGTTATTTCTGTTGTCTATTCCTACCATTGTCATCAATGGAATCCGAGGTGTAGGAACTAAGGGAGCGCTCTTCAGAGGTGGAATCTGAGAGACATGCCACTTCGTCTTCCACCAGCTCTGAAACAAACACATATAAAATTTGTAAATCAGAACAATACATATTAAAATCATTGAATCAGAATAAATAAAAATGCAAAAGTTTAAATTAAACTGAAAGTGACAAATTATACTAATAAAAATGGTTTTAACCCTTAGCTTTGTATATTTATTATTAAATAACATCAAACCTTTGATGAAAAAATCCATTGTAATCTTAAGAAGTATATTTTTTAAAAGCAATTTTGTGCTATTGCTGATTTAGATATGGAGGGGATGATTGTTTTGCATGTGTAAGGGCAGTTTTACTCTACAAAAAGCATATCTCAAGACAATTTATCAAATCCGGATTCAATCCATCATTAAAATAGGCAGGCCACAATGATATTGTAATAACGAGTGTAGGAGTATCGTTTGGAGTATCTGTGTGACTGTATATGAGTGTGTGTGTAGGTGGATGAACTGGGTGTATGTGTAGAAAAAAAGTGTGTGTGGGTTAAATGGATGCATGTGAGAGCAAGTTTGTCACCTGGAGAGGTACATTTGTAACTGTAGAGAGAAGCACTGATGAGCCCCAAAGGTCAGACTGATAGTCCCGGCTGCAAAAGGCCAAAGCTACCTCAGGCAGCCAGACATGAAGAAACCCCCCAGGGCAGATACATCCCCCACAAATAAGTAGGTGTCTAGCCAGGACCAGGAGCATCAGGCCACAGGCCAAAGGAGCACAGAGTGAGATGCAGGGCACCAATTCCCCTGACCCAACCATGCCAGCCTCGCTACACAGATTGAGGTAGGAGGTGCTTATTACACCCTGGTGGCCATTTCATGAGAGGTTAAGTGGAAGGGATTCCTGTCAGAACCCAGCGTGGCCCCGGGACTCTATTCTTGAAATCCCAAGTCCTTATTCCAGCCTACCTGTATAGACACCCCTTTACCTTGCATACAAGCAAGTACAACACCTGGAGTCACAGTAGGCGCACAGGGATCAACCCCAAATTTAGGCATGATAGAAGGAAACAGTTGCCTCCAGCCAAGTGCCTCACTGGCCATGGCAGCAGTACCCCCTCCCTATTTCCCAAATCTCAGTTTCTTTGTACAAAATAACTGAAACAACACAAAAAAATTGTTTCTTTAACAAATGAAATACAGGAATCTTAATTAAGGAATAATGCTAAATTGTAGATGTATTTTTTTCATAATGTAGAGGCTCACTATCAAGCCATTCCTTTTTCTCTTTAAAGCCCACAAACGACTGAAGAGCAGATCATTTCTGAAAAATGAAGATCAATGCAGAGAGATGAGTAGGAAAAAATACCTGGAGAAGAGACTCTAAGGTTGTGAAGAAATGGATATTTAAAAAGATGAGTTTTTAAGGTGAAAATAGTCAGTCTCATATTGATGGTTAAAAGTTGAGTTAAATCATATGATGCAAGAACAGTGAGGATAGAAAATAACTTACAGTAAATGATCCTTTCAGCTTGAACATCAGAATATTTATTCTTACTTAATGGATGGAAAGAAGACAGGCTGAAACAATGTTCATTTCTGGATCAGTTTTGATAAACTATCACATTTCATTTATAAAGCATTCTGTATCTCTAAGTATTATGTTCAAAGAGCAACTTTATAATGTTTATAATGTTTGTGCTCATTTTACTGCCATCTGCAACAACATGAGATTATACGGCTGAGTTTTAGTCTAGTGTCTTCATATTTTTCTTTCTGAGCCAGATTTAAAAAAACATGTCAAGGCAGAACAGGTTCCTTAAAAAGTTCCTCTGCAGAAGGAATTGGTGATGCATTTGGATTGAAAGGAAAAGTTTTTGAAAGTTGTGTGTTTTAGGCTATCTGCAAAGCAAAAACCAAAGCTCTTACTTCAAATGCAAACCTGACATTTTGTGTGGGCAGAAAAGTCAAATTAAATTTCATGTGGAGAAATCTACCTGATTTCTTTGGTTACCTTTGACTTGCATGCCAACAGAGGTGCATCTCAAATAAATAGCTGCTTACAAAACAGCATGATCCCTGACACTGCTTTTCTTTGCAGTTATTTGGCAGGCTGTAGCCTTTCAAACCACCTGATTGGTCCTGAGTGATTGTTTGTCAGAGAAGTGTCAAAAGGGCACAGCAAGCACTTGGGTATCACAATGAGTTGACATGTAGCTGTTAAAACCGTCTACAACACGGTCTGTTGAACCCGGGCAGAGACAGGTACATTGCTCTTCCAGGTGCTTTAATCTCACAGCAATATAATGCCCGGTTTCATATAATTGGTCCAAGTGTGAGAGAGGGGGGGAAAGGCAGATGATGCGAAAATTCCTAAAGTCCAAAAACTATTTTTTTAATGGAAATTAAAATGGCATATATAGAAATAAAAAGTTGCAACTTTGCTTATGTTATTAACTGGAATAGGTTAAAAGTAACAGACAAGAAAAGTGACTCTTTGAATGCAAGTAATGCATTTTAAAACAATTTCACTGCAATTATATAGGTAAAGCCTTAAGGACATCCCTGTTTTCCCATTCTTCAGCAATTAGTGATCAGTGAACATCCTTCAGACTAAATGCCTCCATAGATGTTCAGTTGGAATAGCCTCTCAGTTTGGCTAGTCTAGACTGTGAGGTTGGATTAAGCTCAACTGGATCAAAACAATAAAAAAAAATGTCTGGGGTCTCAGTTATAAAGTTTGTGTACACACAAAATGAGGCATGAACATTGCATACCAAAAAAAGTAAAAAAAACAATCCACTGGACTTTGTTTCCAAGTTTGAAGACGTTTCCTTTCCTAAACAGGAAGCTTATTCAATTAAAAGTGCCAGAGATAGCGTTGAGTTTGAGGCTTTTTAGAGTGGACCAAAAACATAAACATCCCTAGAGCCTAGAACTTAATGCTATTTCTGACACTTTGAATTGAAAAAGCTTCCTGGATGGGAAATGAAACATCTTTAAACTTGGAAACAAAGTCTAGTGGATTGTTATTTTTTACTTTTTTTTGGAATGACTATGAACTGGATGAATGAGAATCTGCACATAAACACAAAGTGTGAAAGTATGCAATGTGTTGGTCTTCATGCAAATTCTGAGCAAATCGGTACAGTACACATATTTTGGAGAGAGGGGAAATTGCCGACACAAATGGTGACTGATGTAGGGAACTGAAGCCAAACTGCATCATCATTTCTTTAGGGCATGTCATGATCACAGCTCTGAGGACTGGCTTAATTGCTCATTTCATTCACCTGCCTAACTCTGCCCAGTTTCCAATTTCCACTCATCTAATCAACCTGCTTCTGCTTCTATATAAACAATGTGATATTGATGCTCTAGTTCATGCTCTCGTTTTCGGGGGCCAGTGGTGAGAGAGGTTTTTTATTTTTAATGTTTCATAATATTCCTGATATCCTGATGCTGATCTGCCTCTTATCCACTGAGCATGCCCTGTTCCTGTCTTAGCTCTGTGGAGAGTTTTTATTTAGAATTCCATACTGTTCCATACTGTCGCAAATCGGCATCAGAATTTGAATAAATGCTTTGAATATTCCACCGTCTGTCTAGTCTTGAATAATGGGTCCTTCTGTCCTGTTTTATGACAGGGCATTCAATTTCACTTCATAAGAAACTTTAATTATTGATTGACTTTATCAGATCACATCCCTTACTGTGATATATGCTGGCACAGACAGGTACAATCATGAATAATAAATCATATAAATGTTTGCTCATATTTAGCTGTTTCCATGATCATATACATGTGACAAGGTGGGATGACTTCAGATGAATTGCAGTAAACATTTGAATTTTGCCGATCCACCAGTTTGTAATGGTGCTCAATGGATGTTTCAACTAGGCCAGACATTTTGGAAATAGGAAACATTTCCAGGGATTAGTAATGTTTCCTGACTCAGGATGATCAGCTGATCAGAATTCATACAGTTGCTCACCAGACCCATGCCATCCATAAGTGATAAACAAGAGGAGGTCAGTGTGCCTCACTACCAAAAATGAATATGAATATACAATCAGTGGCTAGTATGGAATGTATAATATATTAATAAATTAAAGATATGATATGTGTATGTTTAACATGGGCGAAAAGAGATGAGGTTTCATGTTGTGGTGTGTTAAATAAAATAAGCTGTAGCCTAATCATGTACATTTTTCCCATATCAGATCTTTTACATAGATGTGCTGCTTCCCTCTGTCTGAAGCTAATTTTACAAACAAAATAGTTCTTTGAATTTATCTATAACTCTGAGATAATACAGTAAGTAATAAGCAAATATGAATGGATGTACTTATTATGATTAATCCACATCAGAATTTGAAGGTGTCATAAATAATTCTTCCTTTAATCAACTGCTACTACCAAACATGTTTATCTAAACTTCAAACACCTCGGTTAAACTGAGATTTTTCTGTTATCTTGGCTGCCATTAACTAGCATTGATCCTTTTAATACACAGTTACATCCATACAGTGCTTTGCTTGAACCATTTATGCTTGAATGCGGGCAGAACAAGAGGTAGAGCCTTGAATGCAAACTTTGAGGCACATCTCTGAATTATAATAAGTATATAAATATATATATATATATATATATATATATATATATATATATATATATATATATATATATATATATATATATATATATATGTGCAAAGAATCCTTTGTCATTATAGAACAAATCTTAGAACTTAACCTTGGTAAGATAAAAGCTTGTCATAAAGCAACTTCAGCCTTAAGAGAGCTTCATTGTGAAAGAATGTTACATGTAGTGAGCAAGATTGTATTAAGCCTTAAGCAGAGACTGTGGAGGAAATGGAAAGAGCTGATTGGCTGATCCACCACCCAGACAGCATATAAAGTTATTTAGCAATCATCCAATTATATGGAAATGAGATCATCTTTGATATCTCTAGATGGGGAAATTAATCAGTTTCAGCAGCCGGATGAATTAAAAGAGTGCTTCTAGTAATACAGTTTTATCCGGAATAAATAAACAATATGAAAATATTTGAATAACTATAAATTAAAAGTGGAAAAATGTGATATAGTATAAAATAAAGGAATTAAAGACTGTGAAATGCTGATAAATATTTTTAACGAATTCTAAGAAAAAAAATATATAAATACATTCTAGCCATGATTAGCAGAATATTGACTCTTTATATAGAAGAAAGATGTAAATGAGTTGAGAAAGTATTTGCTGTTTAGTGCATGATGATGTTAGTATCCATATCATGTAAAGATTTTCCTGTGATGCCAACTATTTGCCGCTGTGCAGGTGACTGTATTTTAATATCAAATAGATGAAATAGTAAAGTGATCAGTGAGACAAATAAACATGGTAATAGACAAATCAAATATTAGTGGGAATGTAAATAAGGTAAGCTCAAACATTTTGATTTTCTATGAAAGTGATTTAACCTCATCATCAAGTTTCATCATCATGACATTCCTAAATCTAGTCTGAACTTTGATTACTAGGATTCGATTTGTGATTTTTTTTTTTTCTTATGTTTATTTGTTTCTTGAATCAACCAGCATCACATCAAGCAACAGGGTCAACCACAGCTCCTCACTGAGATTGGAATGTCTGCCAGCTCCTTATTTTAAGTAGCTCTGAGCGAGAACCTGAATAAATTTTAAGCAAAGTTATGAGAACTCTGAGGTGTCTGAGAAATCTTATAAATACAGGCTCAGGTTCTACTGCTGCCCCAATGCTGTCTTACTTACCAAGGAGGAAGAATTCGCATATGGAGGATAATTAATTAATTTGAATAGAATCAATTCTATCTATAATGAATCCCGCACAGTTTTACAGTTGAGAGTTTATCAATAGATGGTTCAGAATAGCTAAAACAACAGGGATTATGCTTAGTCTCTTATATTGATGAAAACACTGCTCTAGCTTGGTGATATATATAGTGCATGTAAACATTTTCTGTAGGTCAGCATTTTTATACTAAAAAAAAAAAAAAAAAACAGTTATTAGTCTAAGAAGATATTTACATTTTTGAGCAACCATATTTTGTTGTTTCTCATGATCATAAGCATGATTGGAATAATTAAAAACACCTAAAACATAAAATTTTGTTAACAATACCTTTTATTTATTTATTTCACCTTTTAAATCAAACTTCTGCAAAAAATCTGAATTTTCCTCCCATTCTAAATTATAGAGATGCACCTTACTGTCAGATGTAAACTGGAACCTTGTTCTACAGCTTTTAAGTTACTACTGCAGTTTTAAATCGATTAGTAAAAACAGGACAGTAGATACTGACTCTGACATATAGGGCCGGATTTATCAAGATCCAATTTTGCGTGCAGTAATTTGCGCTCGCAAACTGGAATTTTGCGCAAGGGGCTGAACCATGGTTTGCGGGTGATTTAACAAGAGTGATTGCGTAACTGGTGGCGGGTGCAAAACTGTTGGAGACACCCTATTTAAATGATGGTTTTGCGCGTTTTGTGGTTTGCGGCAAAGTAGTTTGTACAAACTAGTGCATTAAGAAATTTAAATCTTATAGTGACCCCCAACAAAAAAAAAAAATAATTATATATATATATATATATATATATAAAAAACTTTGGCAACCTTTTTCCCTAAGGTGGTATGTGGCTGAATATGTGTGCTGCGCGTACGCATTTGGCACGTTGCTCCACAGGCGCAGCGGGAGAACCCCGACCCGGTCGGACAGCACTTCTGAAAAAACGAGATTGGGAGATCCCAGCTCTCGCTGCAACCGTACGCTGGAATGACCCAGATGCAAAAAAGTGCAATGTTGCAAGGAGTTTTGTGATATCTGGTATTGCGTGGGTCCTCCTTGTGGCTGGCTCCAAATCCATTCTGAGTTCCCCCAACAGCTCCAAAATGGAAATGCAGGATAAACGATATGTTTTAAAGATCGTTTCCTCCTTCATTGCAAAAATATTCACACAGAGTGAAAAAATGCGTTCTCTGCGTCTCCTTGCTTCATTTCGATTCCTCCTTCTTGCGACAATAACCGCTGCCATGTGTGCGCAATTACGCATACAGACCATTTGCACCTTCTTTTGAAACGTGTTAAATATAGAGTCAGATACCGTTAGCAAAATTGCTTTCAGGTTTGATAAATCACTTTGCGAGTGCTAAATTAATATATTTACATGTTCTCCTCCCACAAGACGCACTTTTGCGTGTAAACGCCCCATATTGCATATTCATTGCAGAAAAAGTACTAAATGGATAAGAGGCGCTATTTAGCACGTTTTAAAGACCAAATCCTTTTAGCACGCTGTTGATAGATCAGTTTGTACATTTTTTAGCGTGCGCAGTGAAATAGCTCACGTTTTAATACACGCAAACCTTTGATAGATCCGGCCCATAGACTTTAGTTTTCTTTTTAACTCATTTGAGGTTTGATTAAAAGACACACATCTACATACACACTGCTGTGTCTGTAGATTATGTGTGCTGTCCGCTATTTCCCCTGCATTCACACAGCAGGGAAATAAACAAATAAAAGAACTTATTTCCTATTCTCACAGGATGAAATCAATGATTAATGAGCAGGAAGCTACAGCTTGAAACTGTGTAATTCGAACAACTGCTTGGACGAAGAATCGAAAGTATCTGACATCCACCTTTGCACTGAAATGCAACTAGATAATTTCATTGACAGAGAACCAGCTGAAATGTAGTCTTGTTGACAGGTTGAGCAGCTCAGTATCAATCCAAAATGGAACAATCTGACAATGTCTGAATGCTTCCCTGCATGTTCCAGACACTTTAGCTAACAAAAATCCCTTGAGGTGTGGATGCAAAAAAAGACATAACTAGATTGAAGAGAAAGTCTGGGATTATTTTACACAGACATATTTCAATAACTTTGATTTTTGACTTTTTTGCTATGAGGAAAAGTAGGGCAAGAACATAAAGCATCAGTTCTGCCTGATTACTCTGACCATTCATACTTAAGTGCATATGAGACGTTACAAACATTAGCTAGATCGAATATGACATAATCACCAATTTGATGAGAGGGACTGGGGGTTAAATTACCATTTATTGCTTCAAATAAATTCAAGAGAAAAGTGAAATGAAGGGAAAGCAAAATAAAAATGGGATATTTTAAGCAGTCTAGCCTATTCAGGGTAGTTTTTCTTTGATGTTTGTGATCAAAAGGCACACATCACTGTGAAATAAGCTCTTGCAGTGGAAATGGTGAAGCGGTGGTAGCACAATGAGTTCACGGCTTGTGTACTCTTTTACAGTACCTTTTCTGATCAAAAGGCGTGGGTTTATGTGAGCGGGTGCATCTGTGCGTGCAGGATACCACAGTCTTACCCTGCGGACTGGTAGCCCTCTGGGTCCTCTCAAGCTCAAATGCCCTCTGCCCCCACTCCTCCTCTCTCTCGTCTCTGTGCCTCTCCGGGCCCTTCTCTCTGGTTTCTTTGCCCTCCCATGACACTTTGTGGGCTGGACTGTGCTCTGGGCGATGGGCTGACGTCGAGGGGAGATTGGGCGCAACGCTACACACGGCAATGCCTCTTCTGTTGGCCACACCTCGAACATTAGCCATGTCTGAGAGGAAGCTACTCATCTGTAGAGACACAGGAAATAATGCAGAAAATACTAAGTAAAAAATTAATAATTTTGGTTGGAATGACCATAAATAATTTCAATCCTTTTTTGTCCGTCTCCCTGCCAGCTCACAGATTAGCTTCTCTAATTGGTTGATGCTTTTAGTTTGGTTCTGGGTTCTTTTTTTTTTTATGCCTATACTAGCCAATAATATACTCTTGGAGTAAGTTTTAATAGACTAATAAAAGTCTCTTCAGACTATGAGATGATCTGACTTTGTGTCATTTGTTTTAAATCTTATTAAATCCGAGCATGATGTGATTCTTCTTGAAATATTTAAATGTATTTCCTGCTGTCAGTATCTATTCAAGTGATTTCTTTATTCCACATGTAATGCAGCAATCAGCCTGGTTGCTTCTGGTAAAACGCAGCACAGCCCCCTATAAGGTGAGGTTAAACTAAGTTCTTTATGATCCTATGAAGCGTCAATGCTTTTTTAAATTAAAAGGATTATTTTTAAACTGCTTTTTGTGTTTGCTGGGATTATTTTTGTCTGCTTTTAAACTTTGTTTGATCATGTCAAACATATATGTGTGATGGATTAACAAAAGCACAAAACATTTGCAAGGAACCAAGTTTATTTTACAGTATTATATTTCAAGTTCACCTCATTGACTTTCTTTGCCTATAATTTTTGCAACCACAAACCCTGTACTCAAATAGGTATCTAATAAATATTTTCTCCTGTTAATATAGAAAAAAAGGTAAAAAATCAAATATTTTAAAATGATCATACCTACTTTAAAAAACTGAATACAACACCAAGGTTTGAACTGACATTAGGCTACTACTATCAGGCAGACCATGTTTCTCCTAATAACTTTTATAAAACCTTTAACAGCATATGATATGAAAATGAATCACAGAATAATAGCACTATCAAAACTACTTAAAGAACCTTAAACAATCTATAACGAATTGTGTTAACTAATATTCAGCAAATATTCAGTGTATCTTTGTTGTTGTTATTTTCTTTATGTAATAAAACTTTAAAGGCATGTAAATAATTATATGAGCCTGGATTTGCAGTGATGATAACAAATCTAAAATTTGCCATTAAAAATGATTTGTTTGTATAATAATAAAAGTAGTTCCTCAAAGCTCAGTTTAATGCTCTTCAACATTTAAACATGTACTGCGGGTGAAATAAGTATTGAACACCCCACCATTATTCTCAGTAAATATATTTCTACCAACCTCTGGTGAAAATGTCAATAGCAAAACTAGAAATATATTTACTGAAAAAAATAGTGGCGTGTTTAATACTTATTTTACCTGCTGTATGAGAATATGTCTGCTGCTAAAGCACACATATAAGGATGACATCTTATATGTTATCTATTTCCACAGGCAGTTCATAAGTCTCAATGTAAATTTGATTTTCCATCAGATTTTAACTTGAGGTATATTTTAAGGTACATAAAAGTGAAATAAAAATGCCCAAATAGAGCTTTTGCATCATGTTGCATATTTTCAACCTACCCCAAACTATATTAATCTTAATTCCTGCCTCAGATATTGTGTCCTCAGGCAAAGGTGCAATCTGAGTGCCAAATTATAAAGTGGCATATAAATGGTACAAAAGATTTATATACCAACAGATAAAACAGTTTTTAAAAGAAGGGCTTTGAACTATTTTCTACTAATTTCTTTCTTTAACAGTAAAGATTTTAACTTAATGCACTTATTTTCCAAAGGTGAATGTATGAAAATCCAAGTTTTTATTAGGGCAAACACAGGTGTACAATGTGTGGCGGTAAACATCTGTTGCTTGCAACCATAGAAGAAGCAGAGTTCTGCATGCTCTTGCTAGGCAAGTGCTAAGCATTTTAGCTATCCACTACTTAGAGGTATACAGCCGCACAAAACACAACTAAGGCAAATATTTGGATTTATGACTGCTTACTATTTTTTCCGGCAAAAATTGTGATAAGACCATATCATACCTAAACATTTAATTTCATTAGTGCAAAAGATTTATTGTCAATAATACCAGACCACAACATTCAGTTCCTCTGAGAGGCATTTCATAAAACTCAACTTTTACAAATGGCATAAGCAGTGGCCACTCTACACTGGTGGTAAAGCCTGAATTTCTGCTTAAAAATTTAAACTTGGCTTGTTTCATGTTAAAGTGAAGTAATAACAACGAAATTAATGCTCTGCAGTCCAATTAATCTGCTTGATAAACTGCTTAAACTACTGAAGTGGGAATTCATTTCTTAATGTTTTCTGTTCCATCATGCTCATATTAAAGGAGTCCCCCAAGGATGTCTTCTAAATGAGATCGTCTATCTCAGCGAGACAATCTGTTTGAACAAAGGTTAAATAATAAAAAAGCCAGGGTATTATGCCCTTAACATTGAAGAATATTTCAAGAACTAAAATGTACTTTTATGAAAGATACCCCATCATTTGTTCGTATTACTTTAATCTGAGGGTGGCTAATGAGAAACATCCAACTACATTTCAGTTACAGCATGCATGACTGTATGGCAATGTTTCAGTTATTAAGGTGAATAGAACAAAATCAGATCTATGATATAATACAGTACATGCACTCAAACATCTTTATTGAGTGGGTTAAATCTGCACCAATGCACCAGGACTGTCTTCCCTGCTTGAGGGTCCTATATGTTCTGTGGGGTGGATCTGTATTATTCAGTTCTTTTTAGACAATGGCAAACTGATTGGAGCTTCTTTTGTTTTTTTTGTTTTTTAACCCAGAGTTCCTTTGGTACATTTTTTCAAGCTATTGTTGAACTTATGCCAGGGAATAATCAGAGCAAAGAGCCTAATTGTTTGTTTTTCTTTGAGAGAATGATTAAATTTCTTATAAAGTCATGCTTTTAGCTTGTATTTTTATTTTTTTTTTTTTTGCTAAAAAAAAGGTGACATAAATAAATGAATAAAACAATAAAGGATCTAACAGAATGTCTTTCAATGTGATTAAGAAAAAAAAAAACAGCTTAAAGCCTAAGGTTATATGAAAAAGAAAACTGCTCACTTAGACATGCCCATATACACTTATGCATACCTGACTGCTTTCACTGGATGTGGTCCTGTCGGTCCCTGGGAGGATGGAATGGGCAGTGGGACGCACCATGACTTGGGGAGGACCTCCGCTGTAGCCTCCCACCTCCCCATAGGTGCCCGTGGTCACCTGTGAGCCAGGCACACGCACAGCTTTGAACTCAATTCCCTCAACCCCCGTTCCAGTCTTGTGTAGCATGTAGCTAGCTTCTGTGGAAACATTGGAGACGCCCAGAGCAGCCTGAGTCCCTTGACCTGGGTCAGACTCTTTCCGGAATTTGATTTTCTTCCTGAAGGCAACGAAGAGTATGAGGAGGAAAATGATGACAAAGGCAAGCACTCCGATGCCTATTAATTCCCCTGGTCCAACATAAGACAGCGGCTCAGCCTGCAAAACATTAAAAAGAAATAGAATCACTAAAACTTGGACTCAGCATCTCTTATTCAAAGTATAAAAAAAACGTATACCATTACTGCCTGCTGGAAGCAGAGAATGTCAAGGGGAAGAATTCACTTCTGTTGATAAAATATCCAATGCATCCAACAAGGCTGCAACCGTTGAGATGATTGAACTACTGTACAGTAAAAGTATAAAAGTTGAAATAAATGTTTCTCCCTTTGAGTTTGGGAAGTTTACAGTTTTTCCCCTTGGACTGAGTCAAGCATTCAGTTGAAGGAAATATAAATTAAATTTCCATCATTGAAATCTGAGCAAATGAGCAGTGTGAATAAACTCAACTTGTCAAAAGGAACCCACTAAAACACAGACGATTTATAGTTATTTTTACATTTTAAAACTTTGAATGTGAAATTAAAAAGATATTGGCTTTTATTCATCTGAAAATATATGTAGATAATGCAGATAACTATACTGGAATATTATCTGCCCTCTGGTAGATTATGACAGAAACACCTATCCTTGTATCACACTAGGATGATAAAGATCAATGGCACTTTTTTCTCATTTAATGAAATATGCAATGTGGAAACTCAGTTAAAAATTAGTCTATTATTCTGCAGTATGGCTAAGACTTTATTCAGTGCAGACAAAGTGTAATGCATGATTGTTGAACTAGTCATTATATTTGATTACTTTTCTTCTTTTTATGGCCCTATCATAAAATCCAAAATGCCTTGTGAATAGTTTGCAGTACTGCTGCCTGGTGCCTACATAAATATTTCAGATGTCTAAAAAATGTTGTAAATTCAACTTTGAATGAATGAATTTCATTACATTAATACAAAAAAACCTGATTTTTAGGTGTTTTATATTGCTCTCAATGAAAAGACTCATGAAAAGATTCAATATAAACACAGATTTTTCATCCTCTGTGCAACACCTACCTCTGAGTTCTGATTCATCCATGTGAACACTTGTCATTGTCATGCTGAACATGAGTCTCTTCGTAATTTAATTTATTTCCAAAAATTAAAAAGATACATCCCTCTGCTTACGAGGTACCAAAGCTGTCTGATGTTGTGAGAGATGAATTGAACAAGGACAATACATCTTGTGAAAATTATGATTGTGTTAAGATCTTTGAAGAATACCTTTCTAAGAACAGAGCAGAATTTTACCAGGTTTATCACAGTGAGATCAAAAGATCTTTTATGCAGACACAGTCGGCCAAGAGTGACATTTTAGTTTCTGATTTGGAAAAAAAAACAATTTTTCCAAGAAATAAAACACTGTAATTATAAAGATCAGACTCAGCCTGGCAAGATGTGAATAAGCTCAATGATGTCCCTCTCAGCAACTGCCCAGACAATTTCCAATTATTATTATAATCCCTGAAAATTGCCAGAATGAATAAGTTTTTTATTTATTTTTCTGCAATGAAAATATTTTTTTTTTGCACAGATGATGCCAATTTGTATTTAGCTCTGTGGTCACAACTGTTAGGGAACATTGTTGAAAGATTGAGGTCATAAAACAATCCTGGAAGGCGGCACTTTTATCTGGATCTAACCCAATGAGTCAGGACAAAGTAAAAGATGGATGCAGAAATACAGAGAACAATTCAAGATGAAAACCCCTGCTTAAGAGAAGAAACCAGTGTGTGGTATTTACTCTCCCAGGTACACTGACAGGAATAATCCCACAGAGTAAACACTGGAAATGTTTCATGAATAGGGGAAAGGAGCCTTGCAGGTGTCTGGACATGAAATAAATCAAAAGACTTAATATGAGGAAAAACTTGGATCCTGTTGTCACATTAAAAACAGAGCGTGTGTGAACACCAATTTTCTAGCTTGGCAATATCCAAATCTAAATTCACTATAACTGAAGTCTGGACTTTGACTGGCCCATTCCATCATTAACATACTTTGATCTAAATTATCTCATTAAGGCTCTGGCTGCAGGTTTAGGGTCATGATCTGATTGGAAGATAAAAAAAAAAAAATACATCTGAGTCGCTAATCTCTTCCATTGTGTTGATTTAGCTAACACAATCAACCATCGAATCTGAACAGCTTTTCTGTCTTCACACAGCTTGATGCTTCTACCGCTATGTTTCATAATTGTGTATTTAGGGGGATCTGTGCCTTCCAGGCAAATGCAGGGTTTTACATCTCAGTCAAAAACTCACATTTTTCTAATACGTAAAGGAGACTTCCTTTGGATATTTTTTTAGCAATAGCTGTTTTGTTCCCATTCTTTCAAACAGCCCAGATCTGTGGATTGTATGACTAATAGCTTGTCATGTTGACAGTTTCTCCCATCTGAGTTTTGGATCACTCTCGCTTCTGGGAGAGTTACCTTGGGCATTTTGGCTGCGTTCTGATTAATGCTCCTCCTGTCCAGCCAGTCATTATAGGCAGATCTCTATGTCCCAGCAGGTTTGCAGTTCTGCCGTACTGTTTCAATTTATGGATTATTGATTTAAGGTTTCTCCAAAAGATGCTGAAAGGTTTAGATATTGATTTATATCCTAAACCTGCTTTGAACTACTCCACAACTTGCTGTCTGGTAGGCTTCCTTGATCTTAAGGATATTGTTTGTTCATGAATTTTCTCTAACAAACCTTTAAGGCCTTCTGAGAACAGCTCCATTGATAATAATGATATAAATAGATACAACAAAATTTTTGGATGGAAGGTGATAAAATGTGAAAAAGGTTCTAAGTTCTAGGATCTTGCAGAAAGCAGCACTTGTGTATGAGGTCCTCTTGGATAATTTTATAGGTTTTCTTTTTAAAATAATGGACAATCTATTCATGCAAGTGATATATTAGAGCAGTGTCTTCTATATTAAGGAAGCAGTTTTAGAATGCAGCTTAGTAGCTTTGTTTCGCTTCATGATTAATAAAAACAAAGTGGCAATGAGAGGAAGGAAAGATAAACCACACCAATTTTAAGATGAGTCTAACACTTTCATTCTAACGAAGGAAACTTGAAAGCATCTTAAAACTGCACCAGAAGGTACACAGTGTAATGCATAATAAAAGTCACAAGCATGGAAAACTTCAAATGAAAGCTGTGATTCACCCATTACCACACTTTATCTCATTCAGTGCGAAGACAAGGATGCAAAGCCCTCCAGGTGGTTATATTTCACAAAACTCCCGGCAGTTTCACCGTGTCTCCAAAGTATAATTAGATGAATAACTGTGCTATTTTCTCCAGGATTTATTCCTCGTTTAATTCCACTTTGTGTCTGGTTAAAACTTTACCTGTGTGTCGCCCTCTGGGCCCTGATCATCACAAAACTGCTCTTCGTATCCGTCTGAGCAGTTGCAATAGAACGAACCAAAGGTGTTAATACACTCTCCTCTGTTTCCGCAGATTTCCTCCTCGCATTCATTTACATCCATGTCACACCTGTCAGACAAGTAATATACATTTTAACATGCATGAAAAGTTCAAATGGGGATTTAATTTTTATTTAGAAAATACAAAATGGTGTTAAACGATAATATACTGTATTTTTATATATTTTAACTAAACGTCTAAATAAAAGCGACTATAAACTAGATATGGGGGAATAAATAGATAATGATTAACAAATGGAAAAATGAAAAAAAAAAATCTAAATTCTTTCTTCTTTTTTGATTCTTAATTAGACATCTCAAATGCTTACATCAAATTCCACAGTCGTTATTGCTTTCCCATTATGTCTAGAGAAAATTACTTCTCTCAAACCAAAGGTTGATCTCTCTAAATGTTCTTTTGATCTGATTTCATTAGGTTAAAAAACAAGAGACATTTCACAGAAATTCAGCAAAGGATAAATGCCTTCCAAAATAATCGTGTAATTTCATCCTCTGCAACCTCTCGTGTTCGTCTTAGCTTTATATATCAAACACAGTGTCCCGCTGTGAAGGAGAGAAGAAATACATGCTTTTTTTTTTCTTTTCAATTATTTTTTTTCCTTGATGGGATTTTTCAAAACGCTTTGCTACAGTTTTTTTTTTCTTCGTTTTTTTGGACCAAAGCAAAAACATTTCTGAGGAGCCTTATTGTGAAACTAAGCAAAGTTTTCTTTAAATGATACTGCAAAAGCGCAGGAAGTCATAAAGTTTATAAAGTTTTACTCCTTAAGGATCAGATCTGCTGGTCAGTAAAATCTTCTCATACATATTTTGAATAATGAATATGTTATGGCCTAATTAAAAACAGAAAAGCTCAGACTGTCTGCAAGTTGAGTTTTTTCATTCAGTGTATATGAAATGTCCAAATGTGACTTTTTAATTTGTTGTTACTGATGGTTATTAATTACAAAATGAAGTTTCTGCTTAGGACTTTTGTAGGCACAACATACAAACAGCTGTGGTAAAGCAGTCTGCATGCACTCATGTAGTCTGCAAAGGGTCACAATTATAAATAATTCTAATAAACCCTCTTAAACCACCACTAATATTTAGCTACACAGGCCTTAGTTGCAACTCAGTAAGACACTTTTTATTGCAATCAGGAAGCTTCTGCAATAACCAAAGATGGACATTTGGCCAGTCTTCCTGAAATAGAAAGTTTTCATTTGGTTTGTGTAATGATAATAAAAACATGTCAGCATCCGTTTAAATAAATCATTTATGTGTAGACATTTTTTTTTACAAAGCTTCAACCCCAAACCTACTGAGAGCTAGTTAAATATCAAAGAGCCAGAGTTCAGACCATGGAAAAACATTTTCAAAGAACATCAACAACAGGAACTGTTATGACGGCTATAAAAAGTTTTTTTTTATGATACACAACTTACTAGTTGACATTTTCCCAAATATAAGAGAAGCTTCTTAGCCTAATTTTGGCCACATATGGGATGGTTGTTTGAGTAAATTCAAAGTACATATATTTTTTTATTCACAAAAGTTGTTAGTAAAATAAATCCCCCTAATAAATAATTAAATGTCCAAAGTTTGAAAGTGCATGTATACTTTTAGTTGCAATCTTGAAAAGTGTTTTATTAATTTCAGCTTTAGCAGACAAACTTCTATTGATATGCCATTAACTCTTCATTTGATGGAAAACTGCCCTCTAGTGGTGAGTCCCTTTAACAACCATAAGAGTGCAGAGGTTATTTCAAAGGCAATTACAGAGCAGTAATTAGGAAGGAGGCTACAGACAGATTACGGCTTTCCAAGCAAGAAAGATCCAGAATTAAATTAGAACCTCTGATTTGTCTCTCACATCATTAAGATACAAACACATAGGAGGAATCTGTGCATGTTTTGTGGGGCTGGACTCTAACACATGGCATTTTATTCTTAAAAGATGCATCTACCACTCAGAGTGTACGTGTTTGAACAGTCTCTAAGTGGGGCACACTAATAATCAACACCTTCTACAGTCTACTGTTAAGCCTGTTGTGTTATTAAAGTGTTTATAATGCTTCTTTTATCTTACACTAATCCTGTGAGGCCTCTCGGACAGCCGCAGAGGAATGCATTGCCAGCAGCCTTGCATTTTCCACCATTCTGGCAAGGGTTTGGCATACAGGACGTTAGTTCAACTTCACAGCGCCCCCCAGTGAATCCACTGCTGCAACTGCACATGAAGCCTGTTCATAAAGATTCGACAACAACAAAAAGACATTGATACAGAGTCATTCTACAAATAATGATTAAATTCTTTTTATGTTTATATTATTAGGGATTTGTTAAAAAAAAAGTTAAATTCCTTTTACAAGGATATAAACTGTAGGGATAAGTATCCCCTGTATTATAAGGGTTTATTTAGGTCAATTTTGATGAGAAATACATGCTATACCTGACTAACAAAACAAGGATTTCAATTCAGAATGTTTTAACATTAATGGACCCAAGGCTTTTTAGGGCTGCTTTTGCATGGAGTACCATATTATATCAAAGCAAGGGAATCTGACCATGGCCCCATGAGGTGTTAAGAAAGCCCAGGTTGCTTTAATAGAAGCCTACAAGGCTGCCTCCATTCCTGATGCCTCTGAACTATGACTCCAAAAAGCCAGTTTAACAACAGTCTTACACATTGTTGTTCAGGCAATTACCATACAATGTCCATATAAAAACAATGTTGAATATTGTAATAATTGTAATTTGGAAAAAGCCACATTAATAGTGACAGAAACATATGCTTAAAGCTATTTAATCCTGTATATAAGAACAATATATGTATTTCACTTGAGTGACTTACTTAAATAAATGTACTTCTGCATAAAATCTAACTTGTAGAGATTTGTTTCTATATAAATAGATGTTTTTTTTTTATTTTTTTATAAACAGTAAATACAAAACAATTAGACTGACACATCTGTATGCATACGGACCTCCAAATGGCAGGCTGCTGCAGATGGCTCCATTGAGGCATGGCTGGCTGATGCAAGGATCTGGATAAAGAACGCAGCCCAGCTTGACCTCGCTGAGCCCGGCTATCTCAGCGTAACGGCTCCTCTTATTTTGGAGGGGCAGCTCGTTACCGTTAAGCATCAGTGACCCAAGGCACCCTTGGAAGCCATCCTGAGCCCTTGCTGGGACCCTAAATGAGCGCTCTCCGAATTCTGGCCCTCCTTCCATGTTTTCCTCAGGCCCAAAGACAGGCCTTTCAACTGGCCTGTTCAGCAGTCTCACTTGTGCCCCAAAGAAAAGCAATGAATCAGGGGCTATTGGCCAGAGACGGACAGGGGCCTGTGCTGCTCTGCGACGTTCCACGTAACTGTTGTCCACCGACAAAAGGGTGTAGTTTCTGGTCAGCTCTAGAGCGACTGAATGCCAGAGACCATCATTTATTGGTCTGTCTGAGATACCCATAATTCCAAGAGTGTTGTCACAGTCCAACTGGAACCACAGTCGACCCCCTTCAATCTGGGAACAGGACATTTCAGAATTTTAAACAGTTTACTGTTTGTAGAATTAGTACAAAAAGCTTTGAGGTATTTATCTTTTGTTCCATAAGAAGGAAACAAAAGAGTAAAGTGAAAGCGTACCTTTAACATGGTGCAAGGGTTAACACGAGTGAACATAATAACTCCTCTTCTTTGGAGTGTTCTAACCCTGAGGCCAAGTCTCATCTCTCCACTCTGCACCCTTTCTGTCACTCTGTACTTGATGTAGCTGTTTCCAGAGAAACTCAGAGATGTCGGACCTACTCAGTTACATCACATAAAGACAGAAGATCATTTTTCTTTAACAACAGCGGTAAAATAAAGAAAACTAATTTCTTATATTATTTACAATCAAGTGCCTCCGCTCTGAATAGAGCCGACTAAAAAAACAATAATAATTGAATGCTACCTGCACACTCATCCAATCTGTCAGGCTGACACTGGCAGACAGATGGCGTTGTTGGACCAGAAAGAACACACTGCATGTCGGCTGGACAGGACTGACCTTCACAAAGTTCCACAGGGGATGGACACGTCCCTCCTGTTTTGGAGAGGGGGCGAATTAGAGTAAATAACAACACAATGAAGATATACTTTTATTTTATCAAGCAATGATGCATATTATTCAATCTTTAGAATGTATAGCGATAAAAATACTACTTTTAAGTCTACAAAACAAAATGTCTCAGAAAAGTTTGTGAAAGGCAAATAAGAATAAAACAAATGTATTTAAATAATCCCAATATATAAAATTTATCGGTTGCAGCAGCAGGAAATAAACAAAACACTGTAAATTCAATTTAGCAAGACCACAAAAAAATATATGCACAAATTATTACACCTCGAAGAACCAGTTGAGTTCCTTTTTAATGCACATAGTGCCTCAGCTAATTACATGGCGTCAACTAAATCTATGAAGGCGTTCAGATGTGATAGAGATAGCGCTGAAGTTTAAACTGATTATCGGCATGGGAGAAAGAAAGGGATTTAAGTGAGTTTCAAAACTGCTTGGTATTTGTTGCCAATGAGGAAATACAGAAAATGTTGACATAATTGGGTTTTTACACACATTTAAAGAAAATGGTTGATCCGAAACAAACAAAAATCTCCAGAGGGAAGTGACTGTGTGAATAAGAATGTTATGCTGGTCTCAGCTCAAACAATCAGTTTGAGTTGACAGAAAGAAGTAAATATCCACTAGTTAAAAAGGGTAAATGCAGAACACTGTTTCTGAATATAAAATATGTCAAACCTTAAAACAGCCAGAAGGCAGCAGCAGAAGACAGGATATCATGTTAGGTGACAGTATTGACAGTTTAAAACAACTGAGTCAATCATTTGCACTAGCTAAACTAGAGTGCATTATAGTTATGTTACCTGCGTTATAATAATGCTACCATAGCCTACTGTAAAACACTAGATCTATTTTAAAATTCAGACTGGTGGTGATGAGTCTCTTAGTATCAATTTAACATCTATTTTAGGATTACTACTGTTGTACATTTCTTTATGACCATAGTATACCCAACTTCTAAAGGCTACTTTCATCAAGATAACGAATCATGTGACAACATTAAAATCTTCCAAAAAAGTCATGAAAATAAAAATTGTCACCATAATCCAATAGCTTTCAAATTAACCATGTACCAATAGAGCACATTTCCATATAGTGATTAGCAGATTTTTACAGTCTGTTTTGAAGATGAAAAATCAGCTGCTTAAGGATATTATGCCAACATGAGACCAAATCTCTGAGAAATGTTTAAGGTAGTTTGCTAATTATATGCAAAAATTAAAGGTAGAGTGGAGGATATTTTTTTTTCCAGGTGGATCATCAAAATAAGTATTCCTCCTTATTGTCAATCAATCTAGTGATATGTTTACGTAAGGCCCTCCTACATGCTCGTCCTCATTTTCAATCACCGGTGGGGAGTCTGACATAGTGGAATAATTGCAAATCTTCATTTGGCAAGTAAGCTTGTATGAAATGCAAACAGCAACTTTTAAACAGAGAATGCACTAGGAGAAATGGTCCTGTGCATGCTCAAGCACGGGTTTAATAGACGTTCCTTCTTGGGAGCGGGTACAGGGTTGTAAATTTTTTTAGTGGATAATCTCTTCAAAAATTCGCAAAAATTCTCTACAATACCTTTAAGAGAACTGTGAATGCATAAAAAAAAGAGTACTTTTAAGATGTTCTTATTAATCTGGCCAGTGAAGGTACCATTTTATTATTATTACAAAAAATAAAATTATAAATTTAGTAATATGGACATTTTGTAAGAATAAGTGTTGGAAAAAGTAAAACACTCACCTTGACAAGTGCAAGTCTCTGTGCGTCCGAACCTCGGCATCACCAAGCTGATCCTCTCCGTGTTGTAAGTAACAGGCAAACCACCCTCCATCACTAGTATGCTTTTACACACCCGATCCCCACAATCCAGTTTCCCAGAACAGGTGCTGTCTACCAAAACTGCTCCAGCCAGGGAGCCTCGAATCTGACCCCGAGCTGCTGCCTCCTCCAGCTTTGCTGCCAGCTCCTGCCGGGAGTAGAACCCCTCCATCCGTCCACTGCCTAACGTCTCGGGCCTCTCCACTGCTAGAACCAGATTGATGTCAGATGTCCCTGTCACAGGCTGCACACCAAGTATGTGAAGAGGATCCTGCTGCCCTGGCAACCATTTCCATCCGGCTATAGCCCGTAAAGTTACTTTAATCTGGTTAAGGTACCGTCCAAGTAATTCCTCCCATGAGATGGAGTTAAAACGAAATGTGAGTGCGCTGCGCAGCAAAACATCTGTCACCTGTTCAACCTGTACTGACACGTCAGCTATGACAGCAAAACGTCCATCACTCACTGTTGCGTTCATCTGGTACCTGAAAGAAGACAAGAACACAAAATAAATTTAATGTAAAGAAGTTTTTCTAGAGCAAACATTTCCCTGCATGAAGTGTTGCGTTTGTGTGATAATCATGTACCTCCCGGGTTCCAAGCCTGGCAGAGCAACAACACTGCCATCTTGTCTGTTGATCTTGAACATGGCCTTTGGCTGAGGCTTATGGGTAAATGAAAGGACATCATTGGGGTCACGGTCGGTGGCATAAATCCGGCCGACTGGACCACCAGGGAAAGTATCCGTTGACATGATGATGTATATCTCCAGAGGGGAGACAATGGGCTTGTATTGACTGTTGCCGATGACTCTCAGAAAAACCCAGGAAGAAGAGGTAAGACTCGGCTTACCTGAGTCACTTGCCTATGGAACCAAAAGGGTACAACAAATCAGTGAGGAAATAAATATGTGCCTGCAGATACATAGAAACTAGTGAGGAAAGGATATCATTACTGCTGGATGAGAATTTAAACTAATTAACTAGATTACACAAACCATAATGTAATTCAGTCTACTGTTAAAGTCACATTTTCTATCATGTATGAAAAGACAATAACACATGTGGTTTTGCTGTTTAACATCACTGTTTGTAATAGCAACTCTAAACTGAAGTATCAAGAAAACTAAAATAAATAAAAAAAGCAATGAATTACTGTATACTTGAAATACGAGTGGTGGATAAATGCGTACTGAGACACGGGTCACCCAGTATGAATTGGCAGTTTATCACAGGGGAAAAAAAGGAAAAACAACCATGCATATAATCAGACTAATCTACCTCATATTGGAGAAAACCAAGGCATGCATACGGAACATTCAAACTCCATGCAGAGAGGCATCGGTCTGGACTACAACAGCAGACCATCTTATTCTTATTTATCCAACAGTGACGTCGGATGAAGGAGTTCACCCTGCAACCAGCTCAAGCCCTTTTCCTTTTTTCAGTGTCGTTGTGTCGTATTCTGCAAGACACTTCACCCACATTGCTTTCTGATGGTGGTCAGAGGTGACTATGTACACCCTATGTGAACCCCATAGCAGCTGTGGCTAATATGTGGCTTGCAATGAGTATGAAGTATGTATGAGTACTTGCAAAGTGTATGAATCTACCCTGAAGCGCTTCGGTCAAGTCTCCTGACTTAAAAAAGTCCTATATAAGTACAGGCCATTTACCATTCTAAGGCAACAGTGCCTCATCATACAGCCCATCATACAGTAGGACATGTTTCCCAAGTTTCCATGGGTTAAGAATTTTTTTCATGGGGCATTTACAAGGTAAGCTGTCTTTTTATGTTGTTCTTAAAGTGGTAGCCTCTTCTTTACTGAGTGGCCTGTCACTCTTAGCGGAAGAGTGTTTCTTTTTAACTTGTATATAGGGAATAAACCTATCAGATGCTTACAAATCTAAATCATCATTTGGTCTTTTTTAGTTTGTTCAAGGAGATTTTAATCTTTGTCAAATTCTGATATTATAATAAGTGATAAACAGTTCTCAAAACATATATTTGCCAGTATTTTTCTTTTAAGAAAAGAAAATCAGTCCAACTTAATGTGAAAGAGTTAAAGTATAACACGTATAACCGTATTAAGGATGTATTTACCCTGCCACATTTGGAACGCTTTAACAGGACCGGAGATTGTTTTCCCCTCATTGCTCAAGACTGTCTCTGCAGGTTAGAATAGGCTCAAGTGACTCATTGTTTGGACCAAACGATTGAACCTAGACCCACTTTTTAAGGTGGTCTCTGTCTGCTTCCAAATAAACCCTCTGTTTGCTTCAGGTCTTAAAACTATAGCTGAGAGTACTATTTAGAAACATTTTTTGTTATATTGAGTGAAATGGTCCTTTCATCCTATGAGTGGTCAATACCCTATTTATTCAGAAAAAGGAATAAAAAAAACTCAGACGTCTGTGAGAGCTGGAAGACTGAAAAAAAGCCCAATCCCTGCCATTCGGCTGGGATGGAAAAAACCAATCAGATGCATTCACCTCTGTCCCTCCTCCTCCGCACTCATTAGGTTTGGCCATTGCTGAAATTATTCACAACACCCTTTGGCACCTTGTGAGGTTAATATTGCTAAAAATGACATGCTAAAAAATGTATGGTAAGTACTGCAAAACCTAGCATGGTGACTTGAAAGCCACAATAATAATATAGTGTATTTAGAAATGAATGAGGTGGTTAGGTTGAAGTCTAAAATGTAATGAAAGAAATGGCGCAGTCGGCTCCCCTTTGCTTTTCCAAGTTCTGCTGTGAGATGTGCATTGAGTTTTGGGGGACAGTGTAGCTTTGAACAGAAGTGGGATGGGGACTGCTGTTTCCTAGCTCAAACATTCCCAACCACAGCTTTAATACAAATTGGCCTAAATCAGACCAGACTACAGAAAGCATGCTTTTTTTGGAGTTAGCAAGCCACCATAGCTGTAAAGGTGATATCAGAACTATTCCTGATCCACCATCTGTTGCTTGGCAACATTGCTGCCAGCATGCTGTGGATCTCCTTCAGCTTGTGTAAGGCATTCTCCAATGAAATAAAACAACTTAGAATCTGCATTGAATGATGCAACGATTTTGCAGCTGTTACAGCATATACACTATATTGCCAAAAGTATTTGCTCACCCATCCAAATTATTGGAATCAGGTGTTCCAATCACTTCCATGGCCACAGGTGTATAAATTCAAGCACCTAGGCATGCAGACTGTTTTTACAAACATTTGTGAAAGAATGGGTCGCTCTCAGGAGCTCAGTGAATTCCAGCGTGGAACTGTGATAGGATGCCACCTGTGCAACAAATCCAGTCGTGAAATTTCCTCGCTCCTAAATATTCCACAGTCAACTGTCAGCTGTATTATAAGAAAATGGAAGTGTTTGGGAACGACAGCAACTCAGCCACGAAGTGGTAGGCCACGTAAACTGACGGAGCGGGGTCAGCGGATGCTGAAGCGCATAGTGCGAAGAGGTCGCCAACTTTCTGCAGAGTCAATCACTACAGACCTCCAAACTTCATGTGGCCTTCAGATTAGCTCAAGAACAGTGCGCAGAGAGCTTCATGGAATGGGTTTCCATGGTCGAGCAGCTGCATCCAAGCCATACATCACCAAGTGCAATGCAAAGCGTCGGATGCGGTGGTGTAAAGCACGCCGCCACTGGACTCTAGAGCAGTGGAGACGCGTTCTCTGGAGTGACGAATCGCGCTTCTCCATCTGGCAATCTGATGGACGGGTCTGGGTTTGGCGGTTGCCAGGAGAACGGTACTTGTCTGACTGCATTGTGCCAAGTGTAAAGTTTGGTGGAGGGGGGATTATGGTGTGGGGTTGTTTTTCAGGAGCTGGGCTTGGCCCCTTAGTTCCAGTGAAAGGAACTCTGAATGCTTCAGCATACCAAGACATTTTGGACAATTCCATGCTCCCAACTTTGTGGGAACAGTTTGGAGCTGGCCCCTTCCTCTTCCAACATGACTGTGCACCAGTGCACAAAGCAAGGTCCATAAAGACATGGATGACAGAGTCTGGTGTGGATGAACTTGACTGGCCTGCACAGAGTCCTGACCTCAACCCGATAGAACACCTTTGGGATGAATTAGAGCGGAGACTGAGAGCCAGGCCTTCTCGTCCAACATCAGTGTGCGACCTCACAAATGCGCTTCTGGAAGAATGGTCAAAAATTCCCATAAACACACTCCTAAACCTTGTGGACAGCCTTCCCAGAAGAGTTGAAGCTGTTCTAGCTGCAAAGGGTGGACCGACGTCATATTGAACCCTATGGATTAGGAACGGGATGTCACTTAAGCTCATATGTGAGTCAAGGCAGGTGAGCAAATACTTTTGGCAATATAGTGTATATGCAAAAAAAAAGTGTTTTAAGTAAGGAATCGTATAGTAATTTCATAAAATTTCAGTTCTGGTTCCCTCATGCCCAGGTCATTTCTGTCCAATCTGGGTGCAAACCGAAGCTGACAATAAAATAAATAAATAAAGCCTGCTATTTGTTGGGACCAAAAATTGGACTAAAGGACTTTATTGGTGTTAATGCAGCCTTAGTTTAAACTGTATCTGAACTTTCACTGCATCTGTCTAAATGGTGATTTCAGTTTTTTTCTTTTTTTAGTTATCATGGGTATTTTCTCAAGAACCTCAAGGTAAATAACAATCGGCAACAGGCTTTCTAGCCCTTACCTGTATTTCAAGTATGAATTCTCTGGGTGCTTCAGGACCAAACACACGGTTGGACTTGAGAGATCCAGTCTGCTCCAAACGGAAGAAACTACCTTCATTTCCTGCCACTATGCGAAACACAAAGGGAGCACCATTTCTCGGGGAGTCTTTGTCACTGACTGACAGCGTCAGCAGGGTGGTGCCTGCAGCCTGGTTGAGCTGAAAGTACAATGATGATTTTGAGTGTCAAAGCAAAAGAAGGCTAAAAAGAGGACACTTGTTCCCAGACCAACCTGTATTACAGCTGTGGAGTTGGGGGGAGTGAAGATAGGGGGGTTGTCGTTTACATCAGAGATGTCAATGTTAACAGTGACGGTGGAGGACATAGCAGGGGAGCCACTGTCAAATGCCTGCACAGATAAAGTGTACTTGGATACCTAGAGGATGAACAGAAACATAAAAGACTTCATTAGAATGGTGTTTATTTAATGAAATTCAATTTTCATAAAATAGACAATAACATTTTATGAAACTCAAATTAGTTGTACACAATTTACTGTACACTCCGTATGTATTGGTATTGATGGTTTTTGGTACATTAAATCTCACTTTAAACATCACACTAATCCAACCATTTTATTAGTTAATACATTCTGACTGTAAGACACAAAGGCTTTTTTCCTGACATACACCAGTTGTTGCGTTGACATCTAATGGTTGGTAATGACACTTTGACTTTGAGATGTCTTCACAGGATGCCTGGCCCATATGGCATGTATTCAAGTCTTTCCATTGTGAAAAGAGTCTAGAGAGAAGTGGCCACCATGCACATTTATAATTCAAATACAAATAGGACAGTATGGATTAGAAACTGAACAAAGGCACTCTGAAGTGTAACTAGAAAAAATACATACATATTTATATGGTGGTTCAATAAGAAAAATATTTATTTCAAGGCTTTGTGCACATCTTTACCAAGGACACTAAGGAAGATCAAAAGTGCTGCATGTAAAAAAGAATCCTTACTAGTTCTCTGTCAAGTCTCTTATTGACTTTAAGTAATCCTGTCACAGGATCAATCCAGAAGTGGTTGGTTCGATCACCTTTCAGAATTGAGTAGGTAATTCGTCCATTGACTTGGCTGTCCAGATCTTCTGCAAACACCTTCACAACACATGTCCATGGAAAAGGAGTTAGCTCAAATGATGAATGGATGTGAAAAACAAATAAGGAAGGATTATGTTACCCTTGTAACTGTCTGCCCAATAGATGCATCCTCACTAATCAGAACATTATAGATGTCCTGATCAAACATAGGAGCATTGTCATTGACATCCATTAGTTCGATGACAATCATTGTGGCAGTGCTAAGAGGAGGGTTCCCATTGTCCCAGGCCTCGACAGTGATGTAGTAATCCTTGCATACCTCAAAGTCCAAGTCATCTGCAACTGAAATTGCACCTGAACATACATATAATGAGGTTAATTAAACATATCAATGACCTTTTTAGCAGTATTTAATCTCAGCAAAAAACTGAAAGGTAAGGCAGGTTTTCTGTATAGCACATTTTAGTAGCAAGACATTTCAAATTGCTGTACATGACAAAAAAATGGTAGGACACGTACATTGCAGTAGCATTAAGGTAACTAAATGAATTAATGAACATGAATACATAAAGACAACATATTGATAAAAATGAATGTTATGAACATAAAAGGAAAGTCAGACTGCAAACAAAACTAATATGTTTAAATAGCATAGTCAAATGCAACTCTAAACAATTTAGTTTTTAATCTGGATTCAAAGCAATTTAGGGTTTGATAGACTGACAGAAAGTCTGTAAAGTCTTTTGATGCCAATCCAGAGTTATTAATAGACTAACAGAAGTATTTTAAAGTCTGTTTTCTGAGATATGGGGTCTTGATGTGTCTCAGATTGATGTGTCGCAGATTCTAAATCTAGCCTGATTGGTGGTTTCTAGTTTTATCAAGTTAAGCTGTGTGCCAACTTTTAAAACTTTTTCTCTTGGTCAAAAAATAATTAGTTTGGTTATGTTTTAAATTCAGCTAAATAAACTTTTGGCATACTCGTGCGTTTATAATCATGAGGTCATACTGTAATGCATAGCTGTGTGTCATCTACATATTAATGGTAACTTATGTTGTTTATTATAATCTAAGCAAGGGGAAGCATGTACAGTTATTAAATAGGAGGTACCCTAATATGGATCCTTGGGAAATGCCATATATATATATATATATATATATATATATATATATATATATATATATATATATATATATATATATATATAGTGCGGGCAAGTGCAATGATCGCAAAAACAAAATTATTTACCACTCAAAATTACTTTAAAATCACCGACATTCGCTGAAAAAGACCCACAAGCGTTGCCGGCACCACTTTTGTTGTTTTGTACACATTCTCGTGTGATTTGAAAAAGCCGCATGACTTTCCGCTAGATGGCGTGATTCAGCTTTTGGGGAGAGAATTCTGCAGAGCAGCAGCTGGATGATGAATTTAATCTATACTATAATACACGCTAGATTAAAAATAATCAGTCAGGGATTAGGAAAATAATAATAATTGTATGCGCACAGTGTAAATATGTAAATAATCATATGGCAGTCTTCTACATTAAAAAAATTTCATTCATTTTTTTTTCTCTTAGACATTGAAGTGGTGCATTTAAATGTTATAGAGCTAAACATGTTAAATTGGTGAGTAGTAGTAGTGTAAGTTTTCAACCTGTCAAGTTTTTTTTAGATTTTTAACATCCCAATTTATATTTTTCCAAGCACACAACAGTTTAAAGCAAAGTTTAGTTTGAAAAGAATGTGCAGGAAGGACAATGTTAACACGGTAATGTAGGCTTGAGTTCATTATCTGATGCATGCATATACACACCAGGAACCTGTAAACTTACAAAAAACATTTAAAAAACAAACATGTTTTATTGATATATATACAAAAATTAATATTATGAACTATATTTATCAAACATTATACTGGGCAAGTAAAAATTGTTTCTGGGCAAATGAAATGTGAAAGCCACTTGCCCAAAGGCAAAGTGGTAAAAATCCTTAACGTCAACCCCTGATATATATCTATATAGATATATATCTATATCTATATAGATCTATATCTATATAGATATAGATATATATCTATATAGATATACACACATATACACACACATATACACACATATATATAATAATTATTTTCTTTTTCACTCAAAGAGCAAATTTTACAGCCAAAATCATTTAGTCTTCAGAGTAACTCTGCACAAGAAGAGACATCTGCTTACCCAGTTTTCTGTCTATGCTGAACTTTCCCAACTCGTTACCAGACCTGATGCTGTAAGTGATCTCGGCATTAGGTCCAATGTCAGCGCTCGTTGCCAATACGCGCAGCACTTCAGTCCCCACAGCAACATCCTCGGGGACGGTGACGGCATAGTCTCTCCTCTGAAAAACTGGAGCATTGTCGTTGACATCCAGCACCAGAATAGTCAGATCAACCTGGGCGATAAAAAATAGACACTGAAGTAATTGACAAGCTGGAAAACAAAACAAAAAAAGAACAGCTGGGCGCCAATAAAACCATTTGAATCATTAATACTTTAAATAAAAAGTAATTAGACATACATACTGTGTGATCTAAAAAAAAGTCAAACAGAAACCCTATGTGTTGATTTTCAGCATATTTGTAAAATAAAGAATATATTGTATAATAATTATAATATCCCCCAAAAATGCATCCATAATGTCACTTACAAAGTAAAAGTTTAACCTCAGTTCAGGTCTGGGGTTCTAGAGGACATCAGAAAGACAAACCTAATCAGTGGGACTGTGTAAACACTGTTACAGTTTTTTTGACAACGCCCCGCACAGTTACTGTCACCTTCCCTATATTTCCTTCCCGACCACTGAAAACTGTACTGATACCTTATCTTAATTAAAATCTAGCCTGTTCAAAGACAAATCTTTCTAGTAAACAAAATGGTTTCACTTGTTTGCATATGCATGTGTTAATTCATTCATGCTTAACAAACTTCCAGGATGAGCATTGCTCCCTCCATCACATCACAACATTGTGTATATGTTGTAAAAGCCTAGATGCAGCTTATCCAAACTGTAGTAGAAGCAGATATGGTGGTGTGGATCCACATCATTTTGATAAGATTATACACTCAGACATGGAAAGCACAAAATTGGCTTTAGTCACTGGTTTACATTTAAACATGTTTTTATGAAGAGTTTACCTTCAACACAAAATTGTTTGGTAGATCAAACTTTTATTTGATAAGTATTTTAAATTTGAACTACTTCAGGTTTTTTAAGGAAATAATTTTTAAACCATTTTCTATCATACTGTTTCAAAAGTCTTCTGTTTTAAGGCGATTATCTGATTTTTTTTTTTTTATATTAGACAGCCAGGGCGATAAATTAAAAAGCTAAATCTCCAAAACGGTTAAAGAGAGAAAAGAGTAAATTGACACTGACCTGTGAGGACAGCGCTCCCAGCTGCCCAGCCCGATCGGTAGCCTGAACGCGAACACGATAGGAGTCTCGACTCTCTCTGTCCAGGATTTTCTCCAGCATCACTATTCCAGTAAGTGGATCGATGGAAAATATCCCATCAAAGGAATCCACCAGGGAATAGACAATGGTACGGTTCAGACCTACAATGGGTGCAAACTGCTAGTTAAAGTGTTGGTGTTACAAATGCTTTGTTAGCAATAAAAATCTAAGTGGAAAGTATTTACTTTACTTTAGACAAACACCCACTCCCCATAGCAATCCTTTGTGGCTGCACTTATCTTGCTATGAAAATGTTCATTTACTCCTACTGTAAGCAGTTTAAATAAGTCATATTAAACTGAGAATGTCTTTTGAAGAAATGTGAAAATCATAAAGGAGATTCTTAATTACATCTCCATAGTGTAATGCCTGGCGTGTACAGGGTGCTCTGCATATTAGCCAAATAGTAAATGCTTGGTCTCATCTGATCAGAGAACCCTCTGTCATGTTTGCAGTATCCCCTCAATGCAAACTGAGGACAGAATAACTTGATGGTCTCATGGTAATAATGTTGTTTTTTACACTGTTCTGTAGATACCAGATTTATGAAGTGCATGGCAGCTTCGATGATGGGTTAAACAGTGTTATATGAGATGTTTACAGCTTAGGATATAGTTTTATTTTACTGCTATGAAATGATCGACGCCTCCATGCCCTACCCATTTGTTGTGTTCCTTGCTCTTCATAATGTTCTCCCACATACCTCTGGGATAGAACAGCTTAATTTCTATGAGGTTAAATCACACACAGCTAAGTCAATTTGACTTAGTGATTTCTGAAGGAAGCTGATTACACAGAATATTATTTAGGGGTATCAGAATAAAGGGAGCTGAATGATACAAAACACACCATTAAGATTTTTAACTATAGAAATTCTTCTTCAAATGTAATTTTACGTGTCCTTAATCTGAGAGTAATGCACTATGTGTTGGTCGATATCTAAAAATTGATTAAAAACTCACATTTGTAGTTATGGGACTAAGTGGAAAAAAATCCAATGGGAAATGCATTCTTGACACACTATATACAATGATTAATACAACATGTCCATTTTAAACTGACTCCATGATCACTCAGTTGCCTTATTTTGACCAAAACTGTACAACTTGAACAATGGCTGAGCCTCTAACTGGTTTACCTTCATCAGGGTCACTGGCTTGCAGGCGAGTAAGTAAGGCTTTGGGGGAGGCATTCTCATATATGCTCGCCAGGTAATGAGTTGTCGAGAATGAGGGAGCATTGTCATTCACGTCCAACACTTTGAGAGAAATGTCAGATCGACAGAACAGCCCTCCCCCATCAGTAGCCTGAGCAATGAGCTTGTAGGAGGATGTTGTTTCTCTGTCCATCACGGTGGCAGTACGCAACTCACCTTGAAAACAGGAAAGAAAATATTTTTAGATACCTAGCCACTTAGTTTTGGGAGTATATGTAGTTGTAGGTGTAAAATAAAAAAAACAAGAAAACACAATGTACCCGTGTTGGCATCCATATAGAAATCCTCCACTCCAATGCCAAACAGTGAAAACTGGATCTCAGCACTGGAACCTGAGTCAGCATCTGTTGCACCGACCGTCAGAATACCCTTGTTAATTTGAATGTCCTCAGGAAAAGAGGCGCTATAAACAGCCTAGGACAGCGCACAAAATAAACAGCCAGATGAGAACAGATGACGAGGTGGGAAACAATATACATGTCTTTGTTATAAAGGCTTTGACTGTTAAAGCAAGCAATGCCCCCATTGTCTTAGAACAAGGTCAACTAAGTTAATCACCTTTTCCTGCCAGGGAGTCCATCCCATCTAATATCTGCCAATGCATGAGAACTACTATAAAAAAATCTACTCACACATAATATATTTTTTTCTTTACAGTATGTTATATACTTCCCGTTTCTTTCCCTTATGTTTCATGGCTATTCTATTTCAACAAAATAAACTGATTAATTTCTGAACCGATAATGGAAAAGCCATTAACTTTAAAATGTATCAGGCATTATTGTCTTTTCCTCTTACTACAATACATTGTATCCTGTCACATACTGGGCACTGAAAGGTTTAAATAATTAACAAGAATATATGTCCTCCATATGGAGGGATAATAAAAACAATAATAATAATAAATCTTTTTTGCAGGGTGGAAAGATTTTGCAACATGCAACTGCAAACATTTTCAAAAGCACAAATTGGGTGCACAGCTTTTGAATATATGGTGGATTTATCAAACTACACAAAGCTTCAAATATATCAAGTTTTTTATACACCTCAAAATATTTGGGGCATAATTCTGTAAGGGTATTTTCACACTTCTTGGCAGACTTTGTAGACTTAATCAATATTGGTTGGTTTCCTGGAACATACCTGAATTGTGAGCATAATCCACAGATTTACAGTTGAATGGAGGTCAAGGCTTTAGAAAAGCTTTTCTGGAAGCTTAATATTTGATGCTTTGTCAATCCTATATAAGGATTTAAGAAATGTTTGGGATTCTTTCCTAAATGGAAAACTTACATTTTCTCAACTTTATTATTCAAATTGTTTCCCTAAATTTAAAACGCATTAGTAAGGTACCCAGATTCCCCTGATAACCAGAGAGGTACGCTTGTAGTCATGCACATAGGTTTGCTATACAAGAGAACAGAAAGACTAGCGAATGGGAAAAAGGAGACTGGAAATACATCAAAGAAAATCCTTAATGATTTTTAATAATTCTTCTGCTAATTTTCTGAAACTGAAGAGCTGGAAATGCTGAAAATTAATAAACCAGGGAGATGCTCCCTAAACATTTACAGCCCAGTTATCTTCCAGCTTTGCAATAATTTTCCTTACCAACACACACTTTTATAACAGCATAACATCATGTTACATCAATTAAATGAAATTATCTTTTTTGTGTGATTTAAAACCCCATATACTATTTAACTTTCAAATTCCTTAGTTATTTGCGTTGGTATTTCTGAAAAAGTACCAACGCAGGGTTCAAGATAAAAGGTACAGTGTGTTCATTAAAATAAATTCAAAGCCTTTTTCAAATAATTAATTCAGGTTCAGTTAGTACTTTAATGCACTAAGGAATAAAGCACATATTTATTTTACCAGAACAAGTTCCGTTTTCCCGTATTGGACCTCTTTGACTTTTAAACCAAGTTATGCTAATTCTTCCATGGATTAACACTATGACTTTCTGAGAAAGGCTGCATTGAAATTAGCCAAAAGAGGGATCACAGGTATTGAAAATGAGAATTTTTAGAAATGTAGGTGTGTTAAGTAAAAAAAAAAAAAATCTTAATCTTGCTTGGATTCTTAAATGTTTGTTTATTTATAAATAACTTATTTTAAGTGGTCATCAAGGAAAAACAAACTATACATCCTCATTCTTTAGTCCAGAAAACTCTTTTTTGGCAGTATATAAAGTATAAATAAAAAACAACTTTATTGTAAGTTTTTTGAAGACTAAACATTTATATAAAAAAAAAATAAATAAATAAAAAAAACACTGATCACAAGAATGGATGGATGGATGGATGGATGGATGGATGGATGGATGGATGGATGGATGGATGATGGATGGATGGATGGATGGATGGATGGATGGATGGATGGATGGATGGATGGATGGATGGATGGATGATGGATGGATGCACACGTGGACAGACAGACGGATGGACGGAAAGATGGATGACAGATGGATGCCTAGTTGGATTGATGAATGGATGGATGATTGATGGATGGATGGACGGACGGATGCATGGATGGACAGATGAATGTATGGATGACATTTTACGCTGTGTGGGAATCCTGTAATATTGAGTCATGTAAAACAAAATAATTGTATTGGGTAGTAACAAACAGACTGTATCAAAATCTTTGAATCCCTTTCCGAAAAGGTCAAAGTTACATTAACTTGCTTTCCAAATAATTTATTGCACATCTACATATCTATTCAGCTCTAACCTGGTTGCAGATGGGACTGTTGTCGTTGGCATCCATCACAGTTACCTCCACTGCTGTATGTGCAACATACAGACCATCAGTGGCTGTAATGTTGAGCAGATACCAGTCCTGCTGCTCACGATCCAGCAGACCACTGACATAAACCTTCCACTCCCCCTGCACAAGAGTGAGGCCAAACACTCCTCGTTGATTTCCCCCTATGAACAACAAAAGGATTTAAAAACCCACCAACATTGGCAGTGCATTGTAAACATATATGGCTACCAATATTCATTCATAAGATTAAAAAAAATTACAGTAGCTGACCAGCAGACTGAAACCATTTACACACTCATATGATGCTGATAGCCTTGTTGTTCACCCCCCAGGTGGCAGAGTATCCTCGAATATTTCAATAGTTTTTACATTTATAACCAAATGAGCTTTTTATCCCATTAGCAGATTACGATCACATAATTCAGTTTAGTTTATTCTGTTGAAATGCCAGTACGATAGGACAAATTAGCTGCTGGTGATGGGATAGTAAAAAGTAAAAATTAAAATTCAGGTTGGAATTTCCCTGCAGAGCCTAATCTTTTTCATAACTCTCATAAGAAGTGAGCAGAACATTTTCAAAGGGTAAGACAAAGTGCAAGAACCACATTAGTTAACTCCAAGCATAATATTAAAAACTCATGTGGTTATAAACTCATTTGGTTATATATGTGTGAATTTCCAACGCAATAAAATCTACTCCATTTTCATTTGTCAGCTATTATACTTTGCTCCTGTTACTGTGTCATTTTCTGTCTATATTAGATTCACTAAGCAGATTACACTAAATTATGCTGGGTTTTTGGACCAGGTCGCTGATGTGCACTCACTCTAGAGACAAACACAGTAGATACAAAGATATGATGAAGAAAATCTAAAATTAAATATACTCTGATGATGACGTTTTGATGAAAATATTGACAAACGTACTGACTTGTCAAGGCATTAAACATAACTCTACTAAATACACATCAGACTTAAGTTCATTGCAGAAGATATTGTAGTTTGGGGTAATGGTTATGCACTTCAACACCCCTGCTGCACCTTTTCCTCACCATAACCCACCAGTCATCCTCATTCTTATTGCAAAAGCCAAGCATGGGTCACTTAAAAGGTCTATAATATTTAAAAAATTACTTTTCTATTTACTTTTAACAATGTTACATAATAATTTCTTCATCAATGTTATGCGAAAAGTGGCCTTTTGCTTGTTTTATGAATGTCTGAGTAATTCTCATGATTTCTGCCCTCTGAGCAGCAGCCCCTCCCTATCCTGAAACAACAAGTGGACATGATTGGTCTGTGTAGAGCTGTTGATATCCACACCCTCCAAGATACTTTGAATCCAGTAACACACACTCATTTTCTCTCAGTGAGCAGTGATGTGAGGCAGAGCACTATAAGGTTACTTTCAGCAACTAATCTGATCAGTGACAGCAGCTGTTCGTTTTTAACTGGTGTCAAAGTTACAAAGATTTGTTTTTCTGCAGCAAGGGGCCTCTGACTTTGTTCAGCCTAAGGCCCTAATTGCCAGAAACAATTATTGAACTAAAACTATAGCGGCTCATGAAATGGACGTACAATATGTACCTGATGTAAATATGGGCAAATGATTTGCATGGTTGAGTGATTTCTTTAAATCTACTTTTGAACTTAGAAGTCATCCAAACTCAGATTTAAACAAGTTTGGAACCTGCAATGTAAATTTCTCAATGTTTATATTTTCTAATATTTTCAATCACCTGTGATGTAAAAGCTGACAAGACGGTTTTGATCCGAGCCATCTGTGTCTTTTGTTCTCAGAACAGCTACAACTTCACCAAGTGGATCACTCTCCTTCACAGCACCTCTGTAGAACTCTCTCTCGAACCTCGGTGGGTTGTCATTAACATCTGACACGGTGACTGTTACCACTGTAGTGGAGGACAGAGGCTGTGACTCAGCAAGATCGGAGGCTACAACTTCGAAACTATAACTTGAGCAGGTCTCGTGATCTATCTGGGCTAACGTGGTTATCCAGCCAGTTTTGCTATCAATGGCAAAAACAGAAGAAGCAGTGATTGGGCCGGAGAGGGACAGAGCCTCCTTCATAAGGTCTGGATTGTAGGTGAGGAGTAGACCAAGGCTGTAGGTCACCTGCAGTTTAAAGAGATATATTAAAATATATTTAATAGTAAGTGTAAGTATTTTTTAAACTACTACAAGTGCAGCTGCATTAGGTTTTCACATACCTGTCCATTGGACCCCCAGTCTGGATCAAAAGCACGCACTTGAATCACTCTTGTCCCTGATGGGACTCCTTCCATCACTGTTGCTACATATGTCTTAGTTTCAAACTGTGGCTTGTTGTCATTCACATCTAGAATCTGTTGAGTGACAAATCAATTGTTATCAAGTCCTCAAAAATGTAATTAATTTATAAAAAATATCACATTATAGAAAGCAAAACTGCCCCATTGTCTAATTTAATTCCTATCAAATTTATTGTATTATATTTCATAGAATTAATCTGACCTTTTAAAGAAAATTTTCAAAAATTATCAACAAAAAACAGATTTAATTGAAAGCAGTGATGTCAAGAAGGAACTCTGACAGTCCAGGCCTCCACCAAGCAGCCAATTTCCCTAATTCACAATAATAAATAATCATTTAAACAATCCGTTCAATGATCCAGGTTACCAATAACACTTCAGGAATTTTAATTTGGGCTGAGACACACCTGTGGTAGAAATTTTGAAATTAAAAACAAACATGCAAAAAAATAAGAATTCAGGAACGTGGCAGACATTTTCCACCCCATGACAGACAGACAGACCTTAACTTCCACGTCCACAGTTGACATGGTCTCTATCAAGTCTTTTCTTGCTGTTGTTGCAACCTTAAACCTGAAGCTGCTGAATTCCTCGTAGTCTAATGGCTTTACCAGGCGAATAAGACCCGTCTCCTTCTCCACTAGGAAGGATTCCTCCTGGTTACTGTCGATTGTCTCTCCAGGGACAGCAGTGAAGAGCCCTGTCTGACCAGGGCCCAAGTACACAGAGCCCAACACTGTGCCTACTGGGGTGTTTTCAGGGATGGTGAAGGAATACTGAGGCTGGCTAAATGAGGGAATGAAAGAATCTGGAGGGACAACTTGAATGAAGGCCGACACCAAGGAGTGCTTTGGAGCAGACCCGCAGTCTGTTGCTTTGACAAAGAAGGACAGAACAGTCCCTTGAAGGTGGTCAACAGCACTCTTAGTCATCATCCAACCACTATCTGGCTCCACCTGTGAAACCAAAAAAACTATTTAAATAATTTATGCGCAATTATAGATCTATTTCAGAAGAAATGCAACATACTTAACGCATGGACATACTGCCATATTGCAACTTAAAGGTAAAGAGGATGATCTTTTATTTCGGGGTGCATCATCTAAATAAGTGGTTCTCCTAATTGTCAATCATTCTGGTGATATGTTTACATTAGGCCGTTCTACATGCTCGCTCCTGTAGCTATCTTTTGCTGCACATTTGCAATTTCAGCCACATATCTGTGGTGAGCTACAGTTTCAGCCAGTAATTGAAGCTCACCTTTCTTGCCGCGGTATGCCGAGGGTCTTTAGAGAAAAAGTGTCTACTAAGTGTATGAGAAGAAAAGAATGGCCTCAGAAGAGGAAGATATATCCCAGAATGTTTTGCACTGAGAATTCTCCTCTCAAAGCATTTTGAGATATGCTGTCACAGCGGCCTGCTGTCGCCATAGGCTGTCACTGCCACCGCGCCGTGGAGGAGGAGTTATGTGACCAAAGAAGTAAAAACTAGTGATTATTTGTCCAAATGGTCAGTTAACTAAATTTGCTATAAAGTCCACTATGTAGTCCCCGCTGTATGTGGAACCAGTAAGCTTGTATGAGCTATGAGAAAAGCACATTTTAAACAGAGCATGCACGAGGCGAAATGTGCTCATGCATGCTCTTGCACGCACATTTTGTTTAAATTGGAGAGGGCAGCTAAAAAATCCTACACAATACCTTTAAAAGTATTAAATTAGATTGTACATAGCAGACCATTAAAATGTGCTCTGTTGTGAGGCAAATATATATATATGTATATATATATATATATATATATATATATATATATATATATATATATATATATATATATATATATATATATATATATATATATATATATATATATATATATATATATATTTTATCTACACTGTCTTCTTTGCTGACTTGTTCAGGCTCAGACAGACCAGGATAAAAAACACCTGTGAACAGAAATGTTTTGGTCTGCCTCAGATTATGTAGCTGTTGGATTTAAAGTTTGACTGGCTCATTCTAACATAATAAATATTGAATTAATTAATTGACCTTGCTATGCCTGTAATCATGACATGTTTTTTTCAAGTTTTGCTCTTCCATTCAACCCTAAACAACATCTCTGTATAGAGATATAGAGGGGGGGGGGGGGGGGGATTCCACTTTAGACCATACTTCTCAGATTTCTTCAGATTTAAAAAGCCTTATTTGTTTTTCTTCTTTTTTCCAATAATGCATTACTTTGCATTGAACTATCATATAAAATCCCTATAAAACAAAATAACTTTTTTTCCACGGCATTGTGCATCCAAAATACACAGTCAAGATATTATTAGACACCATTGTTTTCTCATTCTTTTTTTTCTTCATTGTTATTCTTTAGGTAACACACTTTTAGTACAAGGAATTGAAAAAAATAGATGTCTAAAAATTGATTTCATGATCTCATTTTGTAAAAGGTCGATGAATAATCTATCATTAACATTGCATCATATTACATAGTAGCTGTTTTGGTTAGGCTGTTTAAATAACTATTTTACCAACAGACTGAAGCTTCAGCCCAAGTGAAACACTGTTTTGATTTGATGGGAAAAAAATACATTATGTAGTTATAATCAAATAGATGGTATTCAAACTTAAATCAGCATATTTTTTTCTAAGCTTTCTTCAAAAAACATTGTATCTTTATCAGGAAGGACAGGGACCTCAAATACAACCAAAATGCACAAACCTCCAGAACATCGACCAGTGACAGACGGGCCTCACTGTAAAGGGAGTAAGTTATCCTTCCATTAGAACCAGCATCAGGGTCCGTGGCCTGAATCTGTGTGACAAGAGAACCTTTGGCAACATTAGCTTTAATGCTCAAACGGTATTCGATGGCTCTGAACTGTGGGGCGTTGTCATTTTCATCTGCAAGGACCACTCGGACAGTGCAAAATGATGCACGGCCTGTTGAAGAGGAAAACACGAGAAATGGCATTTCAAAAGCTTGTTCATGAGGCATTTGTTTGCTAGTTTCATCACTGAGAAGTTTGGCTCCAGGTCAATTTTCCTCAGCGAATTTGTAAAGCCATTTTGAACTTACTCTGACATTCCATTATTTCCTACTTTTATACTGTAAAACTGTATGAATACAATTTTGCAGTCATATGGTTAACCATAGTGTGTCAGTATCTTATTAGTTAAGCATTATTAAATAATTAATATAATTAGGCCTAACAATGATTTTGGTATTATTGCCTGCCAATTGCTGACAATCTAAAAAGAAAAAAAAAATCCTTTATTGCAATTCTGATCAAGTAGGGTATGAAACTACCTAAATGGAGAACAGTACAAAAAACAAAGTGTCATAAACAGATCACAACCTGAGAATGTTTTTGTTAGAAACAAAATGCTTACCTCCCCCATCTAACGCCATTACGGTCAGCACCATGTCTTTGTTCATAGGATTTTCTCGGTCTAACCTCTGAAGAGTGGATATGACCCCGTCTGCATCAATGTTGAACTTTGTTTTCCCCAGGTCATTAATGAACGAGTAGGTGATCTGACCATTCAATCCAGAGTCCTCATCCGTTGCTAAAACCTAGAGTCCATTTGAACATTCTGTATAAATGTATTCCATTTAAACATTACAAGCTTTTATTACAAGTCAGAGAGGTAAAAAAGCTCAATTACTTGGATGACTTTAGTTCCAGGAGGTGAATTTTCTAGAACTTCAGCCAGATAAAACCTCTGGCTGAATACAGGGCTGTACAGATTGGCTCCCAGAACACGTACAGTTACCTGCAAATCACAATTGCAGTCACTGTGTCATCCTCTTGATCACTGCCTGCTGACATTTTGTGGATGTCATCATAATAAGGAAGACTGGGTAGTTTGTCAAACATGATCAGATCAACACATGAGCAAGTCGCTTTTAAGCAATTCAGAGATCCTATACATGCTTCGGGTAAAGAATTCCTATATATAAGAATCTAAAAAAAATGAAACTAGTAGAAATGCAGCAGCGAAAGAAGGGTATATAGATCACTAAGAACAATAAAAGGGAAGGAAGTTAATAAAAAAGGAAGTAAAGAAAAGGAATAAAAGAGGGTTGAAAGAAAGGAAGAACAAAAATAGAGATAAAAAATAACATTGGGAAGAAAAGGAGAATAAAAAACAATTCAGAAAGGAAAAAAGAGAAGAAAGGGAGGATGCAAGAAAGGAAGAGAGGTGCCGTCAAAAACCTGGATGGTAGGAAGGAAATACACAGAGAAATGAGGGCTCAAGAAAAAAAGGAACAACGAGAAAAATGAACAAAGAAAAAAAGTAAAAAAGAAAGAACATAAGGAAAACACTAGGGAAGAGGAGGAGTGCAGTAAGAAGGGAGGGGAAATGTAGCGGAAAATTATGCAGGAACCAGTTAAACACCCCCCAAAAAAGTAGGATACCTGAATGGAAGGACAGGAGAAAGCAGGCAAAGTGAAAGTACATCCAAAAGAAGGATATGAGTATGGAAGGAAATAAATAATACAGAGAAAGGAAATACTGCTCCAAAGAAAATAAATAAATAAATACATTTAGATAATGGAATAGGGAGGAGAGGCTGAAAACATAATTTTTTGTCCTTATTCTTACTTTTTTTTCAATACGTATCAAAAAACTACCAAACTACCAATTACAGGGCAACTTCACATACTCAAACCTCTTTTCTCATATTTTCTCTGGTGCGAATGTGGTTAATATAAAAAACGAGATAGAAGTTATTGCTAAATATATACATTATAGGATGTTACAGCTGAATAAATCATGTTTTTCAGTTCACAACTCAACATCACAGTAAATTGAATGTGACACAGCATTAACCTGCTGCAGGAACCATACACTTATCCCATTTAGTTGTGACAGATGTTTGCCATAATTATAACTAAGGCTAGCAAAGGTCATCCGCCTCAGGCTATTATTGCTTAGAGAGTTTTTAAAAGATATTAAAAAAACGAAGGTAAGGTGCTGAGAAGCGGGTTCACCTGAGCAGTGTTGGTGAAGACTCCATCTGACACCGACACATTGAGTTGATAGAAGAGTTTCATGCCTTGTCTCCTCTTGTTAGAGAGACGAAGAACCCCTGTATCTGGCTCCATCATGAAAGTCATTTTCTCATTCCCTGAGAGAATAGTATACCTGAGGAAAAAACAGACTATAAGAGTATAATCTTGCATCTGGACTGTTACATTATAATGCTGAATGCTTGCAGGAAGCTGAAAGTGGAAATACTGCTAAAAAAGCATAAAATGTAATATTCATTTGATCAAAAAAAAAAAAAGGGCTGCTTTATGAATGATTTTAATCATAAAATGTGAGAAAATAATTACAGCATATTTCATATTTTATATCTTAAATATTATATATTTAAATTCTATTTGAGAAAAGATTTTTTTTAAAGCTACAGTTATCTAAGGCATCAGATCTCACCTCAGCCTTTGAGCATCACATATGTCGGCATCTGACGCCTGAAGGCAAGTCACAAAGTGCCCTCTGGGCGCCAGATCGCTGACAAAAGCCTCGTATAGCGCTTGGCTGAAATTAGGGGGGTTGTCGTTTGTGTCAGTTACAACCACAGTGACACTAACATCAGTACTGAGGGCAGGATCTCCACTGTCTGTCGCTCTGACAATGAAGTTGTGGCGCTGAATGAGCTCATAGTCAAGCATGCGTGATGTGAATACCAAGCCCCGGCTGCTGTCAATTTGGAAGTAGTCGGTGCTGTTGTAGATGTCAGACAGGATCTGGTAAGTTACTACAGCGTTTTTCTCCGAGTCCTGGTCTGGCGCAAAGACCTGCAGGGAGTGGAAGCGAACATTTTGAAATGCCTCATGAATTAATCATTACTGTGACTGTAAAAAAATATCAAAAAGAAAAATGAAAGTACAAAAACTACTGGTTTAGCACAGCTATACCTACATAAATAACTCTGGGCTATCTACATTGATTTCATGTGAGTTGTTTATTAGTAAATCTACAATGAGTGACAAAAGGTCAACAGTCAAACTCATCTGTGGAGAAATAACATGCAGCAATAGAAACACACAAAGTTACAGAAGTCAAGAAGGGCATAATAGTGGCCATCCTGTAGGCACACTCCAGGCTGATGACCACCTCATTGCTAATTATGCTTTGTGAAAGTGAATGATAAATACGACCCAACTACAGATTGCATTTAAGTGAAGTGAGAGGGAAGTGAGGTGCCGCGATAAGAATGACCCACTCATCATCTATTGACGTGCATGATGCATTTTGAATAGATGCACATTAATATACATGTTTCCATATACCCCCAAAGCTACCAATAATAACTTTGTAAGCTAGTATTTAAAACATAGCTCATGGGTGATGTGATATGTCCACAATCTGTCATTTACCCTGGGTGTCGATATATGATGAGTGGGGTACTCCTGTCACGTCAGTATGTGAGTCAGTATGCGCAGGAAGCTTTGACCATAAATGTCAGTATTTGACGAGTTGGGAGTGAGAATGTGTTGGAGATGAACAAGCGTGTCATGTTACACATTTAAAAGTGCTTACATTGTCATGGTCTGTATGCTAGATAGCCAACATGGTATCTCACCCCACTACCAGGCACATGCGTCAATATCTTTTATTCACCATGGAGAAATTGCACTGTTCAAGAAACAAGTGTTCCATGCTAGGCCTTAGAAACAGATTCACACTGAGGAACAAAGCTGGCTCCCTTTACTGTTAGAGCTATCAAAAGGAATGCTATGCAGCCCACCTGATTCTAATGATTTATGGTCTCATCAGCAGTCATAAAGTTCTACGGAAGCCTGTTAATCATTCTTTCACATAAGTCAGGTGTGTGACAGAAAGGAGACACCTAAAACATGCAGCGCAGTTGTCCCTTATGAGCAGGATTGAGAACCACTGCCCTACCCTGAATTGCACTATGATAAGGTTTTACAACCAGTAAAGGATTATTATTTTGCCTCTTCATAAGCAACCCAGACCAAATTTTGTTTCATGGATCTCGGTACCCCAGCTTATCAGAGTTGTATCATGAGGGAACAACTGCTGTAATACCACAAATGAAGTGCCCTGAACTTTCACTAGCCCTGAATCTGACAGAAAACCTGTGGGAACGGAGTCATTGTGTAGAGGGTTGTAAGTCCTGTCCCCAGAACCTCAATCAACTGTGGGCAGCTCTTGAATAGAAGTGAAATGCTCTGCCTCACAATCAGACAATAAGTTGACTTGTAAAAATCAAGACACATTTTTATCCAACGGTAATTGATGCTCAAGGACATATGACAAGTACTAAGACACTGGTGTGTTTCTTAGGCTTTCTATGAATACTTTAAGATTAGGAAATTAGCAAAAAACGCTTCTGCTTAATTATCCCTCTTTCTCATCACAGAGGATTGAGTTTTACACCTTACATATTCTATACCTTTTTGGAAGGACTCTGCAATATATTGCCCACTTATGGAATAAATGACTGAATGTTTTAGAACTGCGCTGCAGCATAGGAATTCTAGAGATGTGCACGAATCGGAACACATTCTGTAGTATTTTCAGCAGACATCTGTAAATGAACACAGAGCTCTTTACTTGTTGGGAACTTGTCATTAATGTTTGGGATTATCCTCAATTTGGGCAAACAGTCTCACACAGAGAACACGCTTAATCTTTTCTTGTAACCCCCTAACTCAACAATGACGTGGATGGTATACTTCAGTCATGTTTTAACAAAAGTTAATAATCCTTATTTCCCCATAGCTGGTCAGAATTAAATAGAAACTGAATTTGCTTCTCCTGCTAAAAGCATGCTCCTGAAGCAGTGACTGCAGATTCTGTTGGGGGAAGTAACGTGAAACCTGTGATGGGGGATCTGGAGTCAACAAGTCATTTTTTTATCATGCATTTTTTTTATCCAGCCACTGAAGCAGGTGAGTCCAATCTGGTCACTGAATGAACCTATGAAGATTGGACTCACCTGGTTCAGTGGTTGGATAGATCAAATACATGACATAGAGACGACTTGTAGAATCCAGATCTCCCATCTCTGACAGAAATGTATATTCTGTCAGAGCATATATCCACACCACAAATAAGGTCAGGAATTCCATCTCTGTTTTATAATAAAGCTTCTAAATTAATCAGATCAGCTAACTGATAACCTCGTGGTAGGTATTCATCTGTGTTGTGACTGTGGATAGCCTGGTAGCATGTACAGTAGATTCTGCACTGTGTAACCAACCAAGAGTGCAGCTGACATCAGCCAATCACATGGCACCTGTGACACTGCCTCCAAAACACACCATGTGCACATAGAAATTTTCTGGCAGCGGTGAGAGCAGGAGACGTAGTTGGTAACCTGCTACAACTAGCATAATTTGCAGCAAGCAGTTCTTAAACGGTGAGCTTTAATCGTCAAAATATTGTCATAGACTCTATTCAAAAACAGGCAGAGTTTCATCTTTTCACGGGCATGCAGGGTTTCCCCAAGCATACTATAAACTTGGCGGGCAGCCATTACTCGCCCCCTGCCAGGATAAGTGTCACCTGTCTGCCAGCTGTATAAACTTTTATAAGCCTTCAGTGCTTTTCCTGAAGCGTAAGATTAGCGACTCAGCAAATAATTATACAAGTCGTGGTGGGCAAAGTCAGGGATGTCTGGAATCGGTGAGTACAAGCTAATAGGCAAATTATAGGGATTCTGCACTACAACCAGAGAACGTTTTGTGATGTAGTACTAATTTAACTCCCCATTCAGACATTCAACATAACAAGATGATTTTGGGTTGGCAGATTCTCCACTCATTTTGAATAATTAATTGAATTTGAATGTACCAAATATCTGTATTATTACAGCACACCAGGTAGTTTTATGCTGTCCAGCATGGTGGCCTAGACTGCACGTCCTTTATAGGCAGAAGCTGTCCCATTAAAAGCACCCTCTCTTCATTTGTAAAATTGGGAAGAAATGCAAAAAGAAATGGGAAAAGACAGGCATCAATAAATAGAAAGGACAAAATGAAACCAGTAGAAATAAATACAACAGACAAAAAAAAAATTAAAAAAGAAATAAATACATATAGAACACATAAATTTAATTCTAAAGCTGGACATTTTAACTGTATGAAATAAATAAGGTCAATATTATAAAGAGGAATAAATAAATACGCAAATTAAAATATATTTCTACATTTATTTCTCATTTTATGATTGAATCACTGCTTAAATTTATTTATTTGATGTACGTGTATGTGTGGCCCATTTAATTGTACACCTATTTATTTATTGACCATTTCATTCTTTTAGAATTTATTTCTGTTAGAGTTTGTCTTCCATTAAGGCATTCTTCTCTATGAACAAAACCAACAAAGTCACAAAAAATATAAAGCCCAATAAGGAAGGACACTGGTACCAAAATCTGCGGCATATATCTATGATAAAATGGTTATGGTTATAAATGGTTATGTGTTATTGCACGTTTCTTTCCTGTTGTATTTAGAATAAATATTTCATTAGGGAGGATCTCCTCATTATTACTTTAATTCAATTAGGAATATGTCATTTCATTAGTACATAACATGGTTTTTGTTAGACATCTGAATCCTTTGGAGCCACCCACCTGTAGCACAGATGTTCCTATCATTGAGTTCTCAGACAGGACAGCAGCATAGGAGTTGTTCTGAAAGAGTGGGGGGTTGTCGTTCACATCTAACACAATGATGTCTACATCCACCTCTGACTTTGCTCCGGTCAAGGTGTCAGTAGCTTTCACTGTTAGGCGGTAGTACTGCGTGGTCTCATAATCCAACTGGTATCTCACACTGATGATTCCTGTATCGAAGCCAATGTCAAATTGAAAGGAAGGGTCTCCATCTGTGATGGTGAAGATAATATCCTGGCCCTCTGGACTGCTGGCATTAATACCAAGAACAGAGGTGGAAACTTCTACATCCTCTCTGACTGTGACACCATAGAACGGCTTGTCAAACACTGGCATGGCTTTATTTACAACTGTTACAGGCAGCTCCACCTCACTGGAGAGTCGAGGGAATCCACCATCAGTTGCAATGATAATCAACCTGTACTCTGCATTAGATAGGTCTGCTTCAAAAGCTCTTTTTAAGACCAGTTCCCCTGTCAGAGAATTCACCTGCATGAAATAAAAAGATAAAAATATAACCATTATTTTTTTAATGATGTAGTTATAAAGACTACTCCACAATGAAAAAACAAGCCACTTCAATTTTCAATGACCTCAAAGTTCCTGTGCAGAGTCTTCATGCTGTAAGTTACTTCTCCATTCTGATCAAAGTCTTGATCAACAGCAGAGACCCTGAAGATGGATGATCCTGGCTCTGCTTCCACCTGCACTGCAGCATAGTAGGGGAGGTTCACAAACTCTGGAGCATTGTCGTTTATATCTTCCACCTACATTAAAGACAAATAAGATCCCTTTGGTGACAGAACGAAAAACATTCTTTAATTGGATGCAATGAGGTCCTGAGAAATAAAACTGAAAAATGTTTAGTAGGATTTAAAGAGAGTAGCAGGCAGATTCTGGCAAACCGATGCAGTGCATTGTCTGATACACACCCAGTGTTTCCACCTGCAGAAACTCAGTCTAGATTTGCTGATATTGGATTTCAGGAAGGAGAGAAAAGAACAGTAGATTTTAGAAAACAATTACTGCTGCCCCTCAGTGAGAAAACGGTTAAAAGGTCCCTTTTCAAAATATTAGAAGTCCAATCCACACTGAGAGGAACTCGTTACAAGTGAAAGACAGTAGTGAATGTCTACAAAAATGCAACCACAGGTTGAACTATTCAATGCCAAGCATAGAAATCTAATCTGTGCATGAATCAGCAGCATGGGAATATAATCCTCATCAAGCCTCCACTCTTTAAAAATCAATACTTCAATTTAAAAGCATCATCAAGCGAAATATCAACAAATGGGACAAAAAGTGAAACACGAACCAAATACAACATACCAGGACTAACTCTGCATCGGCATGGTGATAGAGGGGGGAGAATATGGCAATTTCTTACAGCAATGGTAACTAATCACTTTCTAATTATCATATCAGATAATTAGAATCTGCTCTCAAACCAAAATATTAAAGAGATTAACATGAGCAACTGTACAACCTGTTTATCTTATGAGACCATTTCCCAACCTTTAAAGCCCTGTAGGTCCCTTGTCTGAAAATGGAATGGAATATATATATATATATATATATATATATATATATATATATATATATATATATATATATATATATATATGTATAAACAGAACTGCAAACCTATGTCCAGCAGTTATGACTTGTGGCTTGCACATCTCCTAAATAGCAACAAACCTTTCACCCACAAACTTCAATTTTAGGCAGCTTAATGTTGCTAAATTACCTTACACCTATCTTTTCACCACTAGGGAGGTTTGTAACTAAGGATGGGGAGACACATGTCTGGCTTTCCAACCCTAAAACTGACTTTTTGTGCTTCTTACAGTTAAAACTGCATTCTTCTTTTGTATTAAACTTCACCACACAATTCCAATCAAATGAATTTGAGCTTGTGCTTGTAAATGACAACATTGGTAATGAGTAGTTTTGCAAGGCACTTTCACTTCCATCTTATGTCTTCTTTGAACTCCTGCTTTTAACATTGCCTGCAAGGCAGTTCGAAAATCGAATAACATGCAAAATAGAAAACCCTGGCCTTATCCTCAGTCGTTAGTTTCCTATTAGCAACTGTACTGTATGCATGGTTTAATGTAAGACACAAGGCAAAGAACACTCAGTGAACAGAAGAGCTTCAGATCTTGACAGGAGTTCAATGCAGACATAATAACAAAGCTGCAGTCTGAGTCGCTGAGTAGCTGTAGAAAAGTAAACATGTCTGGATTGGCTAATTCATAGAGTCAAGTAAACATGTCAAACTTTTAGAGAAAGCTAAGTTGACATGCTAAAAGCCAAATGGAAAATATGGAAAATCTACAATCTATGGTTCTTTAATTATTGAGGTAAGCAACATTCACTTTAAAAGGATTGGATTTGATTTTTAACAGTTATAGTACAATCAAAATAATGCAATTCTTGCTGTGACAGTGCTTTCATACTGTCTGTTATAGCAAATGAAACAGCAGACCTGCTTTTGCAAAAGTGTATATTTTCCAAAAGCCTAAAATACTCACTGATAGTTTGTGTCAGGGCGAGTTGAGCTAAAACTCAAGAAAGGCTTTGATCATAACTTGTTCTCAAGAAGAAACTTAAATGAGAATTTTACATACATCTTTATCAATATGAGCACAATCAATGAACGGAACAAACTTTTAAATTATCTCAGGTTTTTATAACCATTATTAGACATTATGTACATTATTTACAGCAATCAGAACCTACCTGTACTTGTACAGTCACCCTTGCCACTCTTAGAATTTCATCTTCTCTGCTGACTTCCACCACCAGCTCATAGCTTTCCATTTCTTCACGATCAAAAGGTACACTAGTGGTGAGCACCACTCCACAGGTAGGCCGAATGGTGAACCTTCCTCCAGGGTTTAACAGTGTGTACTTCAGTGGCTCGTTCAGGCGATGGCCAACAGTGTTTACAACAGTCACTAATGTGATATTTGGCTTGTTCTCTGGGATGGAGGCCAGATATATGGGGCGGGTAAAGAGAAGGCCGCTGTCAACAGCTTCTCTCACAAGCACAGTGATGGATGCCATGCTGGAAAAACGTCCGTCCCAGACCTTAAACACAAAGTGTAAAGTAGATTTTCAGAAATGGCTAATAATAAAAAAATACAATTTCTATGGGTACATGATGCTAAATTAAATACATTAGACTTGTATTTTGAGATACATATATTAAAAGTTGGTCTTTTCACGGTTATACCCAGTGTTGGGAAAGTTCTCTTTCTACGTGAACTAGTTCAAAGTTCAGTTCACACATTTTAAAATAAACTAGTTCAGTTCATAGTTCATAATTCAAAACCAAAAAATGAACTAGTTCATAGTTCTTTTTTTTTTTTTCATATATTGCTCAATTACACCATAGCCTACTGTAGAACCACAGACAGCAATTATTTTATCAGTTGTAACTCTGAAACTGTGCGTCAGATTTCATCTTCATATCCAGTTTTGAATCCTTATCCAACCAGGGTTTACATTAGCATTGAGGGGACAGCATTTCCCCATTGTTGCTTTAACGCTTTGTTGCTGTCCATTCACTTCACACTAGTAGCAGCTGCAGCTTTCACCCCTACAGTATATTCTCAAAAACATCAGGAAAAATGTGCTGCTTGAATGGTCTTTTTTATGAGTAATTATTAAAAGAAAAATAGGAAAGTAGTCTTCAAGGTGCAAATGTTTTTTTTTTTTTTTTTTTTTTTATAATTTTTTCCATTTGAAATTCCATTTCAATACATACTAAAAAGGAATACTGGAATCCTGGAAAATTATACCAGGCAGGTTTAACAAACAAGTTACATGGATAGTAAAACCCTCAAGAACAGGGGTCTTCTATGTTTTCCAGACCAAGGACCCCCAAACTGATGGCGAGATGGAGCGGGGACCCCCTAACTATATATATTGTATGAAATTGTGTCCTATAGTCACTCTATTACAGATGCAGTAATGTAAAGAAATTAATTTCTCCCTGGGATTATTAAAGTATTTCTGATTCTGATTCCTGGTTGTTGTGAAGGAAACGGTGCCCAGCTTGAAAGAGCTCCTGTGTGTCGCTGAATGTGTGCATTGATGACTGAAAGGCATCTTTTGTCTCAATTTATCTGTTTACTACAGTGTGTTGATTTCATGTTAATGAGTATTTAAAGAAATTTCAATTAGTGGGGGGAAAAATTGCAGGGGGGGAATATAAAAATATCAACTAACCATGCAGACCCTCATGCAGTACCTCCGTAGACCCCCTAGGGGTCGCGGATCCCCTGTTGAAGACCTCCGCTCAAGAAGATTTTACTAACACAAACTGAGGGACCAGGCTGAGGTAGGAATTTAAGGTTACTGAAGTGCGGATTTTTTTTACTGAAAGCCGGCGGGCAAACTTGTTGCCATCATCCTCACCGACCACCTGGTCATAAACCTGTTTTAAGTGATCATACTGCTGCTTTGTCGCCTCCACGCTGCTGTGGCTTCCACACGGCATTTTGTTTTGATGACGCACGCGGCTGTAGGCTACGACACTGGTAGCTGGTGTTGCCAGATTGGGTGTTTTTCCCGCTACATATTAAGATCTGGCAACCTATTGAACGGAGCTGAACTGAGAGAGCGTGCCGTTCACAGACACCAGAATGAACGAGTTCACAATAACGTTCATCAGGCAATAATGCAGTACGTTCAGTTCACGTTCTCCCAAAATATGAACGAGTTCATGAACTTTCGTTCAATGAACGCGTTCAGGCACAACACTGGTTATACCTCTTTATACATTTTTCCCTATCCCAATGAGGACCTGACCATCTTGGGCTGTAAGGTTGATGCTCTGAAGAAGTCAATAAGCTCGCCCAAATGATTACTCATTTTTCAGAAAGGGCTGGGCAATATGGACAAATACAATCTTACATTTTTTAATACCAAATCCAATATTTTTTTTTTCATCTTTAGGTGCATGAAAAAATGGCCAGAAATTACTTTTAACAAAACAGCTTTTGTTTTGACCATCACTTCTGAGGGTTTCCAATTGAAACAAACTTTTTCTCACTCAGTTATATTGCAGTGGCATACAAGACAGGTATGCAATAACTTAATGGGTAATTTCACATTAAAAAGGTGGAATCAGGGTTTGCCAGCTGACCAAGTTTTTCAACTTCCCTGCCATATGTGCTGCAATAAACAACAGTTACTTAGTTACCTTTACACTGAACCGATATCGATCTTTGCTGAGGTTTGGGTTGGTGACTGTCAAAACTCCAGTAAAGCGCTGCACAGTAAAGTATTCCATACTGTTGTCCACCAGCGAATAGGCTAGATTTGGTGTGAGAGATTCTTCTTGTTCAGCAGTTATATCAGGGTCAACAGCCTCAACCTGGAGGACTTCAACTCCCACATATGTCGGGAGCAGAAGGACTGTCTCATAAATGTCTTGAGTAAACTTAGGAGGTGAATCATTGATGTTCATAACCTAAGAATATGGAGAGTGAAAAAAAATAAAATCTACAGTCACAACTGAGCAGTACAATAGTCTTTTTGGGTAGCAATCGCTGATTTATGTGAATTATATGTTACTTGCCTTTATAGTCACCTCTGCCGGACTGTCTGCACTCCTAGATGGTTGACCATTGTCTTGTACATGAACCCTAAAGTTGAACTCTGGAAAGGTCTCGTAGTCCAAACTTGCAATGGTTCTAAGATTTAACAACACAGTCTATAAGAAATTGTTTAATCAGATTGCTAACTAAATAGTCTGATTCCTAAGCAAAATTGCTCCTACCGAATTGATCCTGTCCCTGAGTCAACACTGAAAAACATACGAGCGGTCTCCTCTATGATTTGAAACATTAACAGGGCATTGTGATTGCGATCTTTATCCGTGGCCTGGATAACCAAAGGGTTGCCGTCCTCTCCCAAGACTACACTGTTGACTGGAGCAGCTTCACTGACTCTACCTATATACCTGTAATGTAATAAAGGAGACAATGTTGAGAAGGAGGATTGTCTTGATATCCCCATGAAACCTCGTTTCTACTTATCAGGTTTTACCAGCTTTGATACCTGATTTTCTGAAATATAGGTGGACAATCGTTAACATCCACCACCTGGATGATAACACTGGTGCTGGCCTCAACTCCTGCCATACTCAGGGCTCGCACCATCAGAAAGAAGGATGTCATTTGCTGCCAAAACAAAGATATTCAATCAGCATTGGGAAGTGTTAGAGAACAATTGACCAGTCAACCAACTACATATACAAGTAAAGCCTAAACCTAACCCTATGCAGATAACATTGTCATATTACACATGAGCCAAGAACTCATTTTAAGAAAAGTATATCTTTGTCTGTTTATAGAACAACCACAACTAAACTATTAGACACAATTCCTACAGGGCCAGTATCCTGCAATGTTTAGATATTGCCCTGGTCCAACACACCCCAATCAAATGGCTTAATTACCTCCTCAGTTGAAGTTAAGATCTCCATAGTCCTGAAAAGGAGTAAAATATTTGAATTATGTGTGTTAAAGCAGAGACATGTCCAAAAGGTGCAGGGCACTGGCCTTCTAGGACTCGATTCAGACATCGCCCCAATAGAATATGAAGCCGGATTTCAAACTGTGCTGTCATCTGAGAAAACATTTGCTGTTTTCATGTAAATAAATAATACCAACACCACCAACCAGTTCAGTTTTCAGCAGAAAATGCTGTCGTATAAACAGAGTCAAAAAATTGCTCCCAATTAACCCGAATGCCACCATTTAATCTAGTACAACATTAAACTTTTCTGGATTTTCTAAATAAAAAAAATAAAAAAAACTCAAGCACATACAAGCATTAACTAACCTCAAAGTCGAGCTGTTTTCGAGTTGTAATCACACCAGTGTGAGAGTTAATAAAGAAGCAGCGCTCCTCATTGCCTCTGATGATGTCATAAACGACTGGTGAGCGACTGATAGCCGTGACGGTGGTCACGTATGTTCCTACTTTGCTGTTCTCCATTATCTGCAGATAAAAGACATTAATGATGCCTTTTAGACACCTTGGTGAGTTATGTGAAGTGTTTCATTAAGGTATTTACCTCCCACATATCCATCAAGTTATTTACCATCCAAGCATGTCTACTGCCTTTAGGACAATATTTATTTAATCTGTCCCTCCCTACAACCCTTTCACCCATGAACATATTGTCTTTACCTCAGCCTGATACTCCATTTGAGAGAATTTCGGTTTGGAGAAGTCAGAGAGTATCAGGGAAATCCGGACTGAAGCGGTTGCCATTAAAGTAGGAAAGCCACTGTCTGTAGCCCGCACAGTGAGAGTGTAGAAACCCACAGAGGTGAGATCCAGCTCCTTTGCAATGATGATAAGGCCTGTGGTATTATTTACCGCAAACACCCCCCCTGTGTTACCTGCATTGAGAAGATTGTGGAGGTTACTATTTATTTATTCATAATAATAAAAACAATTATTGATGTATAATCAAATACAGTGAAAACAGAAAGAGACAAAAGAAAGAGCCTACCTGCTTCAACAGTATATGTGAGTTGGCCATTAATTCCATTGTCTTTATCTAGTGCTGTCACCTGTACCACAGAGGTACCTACAGGAAAAGTCTCATAGGCTGTAGCATCGTATACAGAACTAGTAAAGTAGGGGACATTATCATTAGTGTCTTCCACTGCTACAAGGATGCGAGCCAGGTCACGGTTAAATGGAAATTCCTGATCCTTAACCTAGAGAACGAAGAATGAGAGAAAAATGTGGATGAGAAACAGTTGGAAGCAACATAGAAACAAAAAATTCAAAAGCATTCACACTAACAGAAGGACAGCTGTAAATGAGTCTCATAGAGAAACATAGCTCCAAAGTGAGACAGGTAAAATAAAGATTAGGGGCCCAAAGCCTGAAATCAGAAAGATACACCGAAAAAGGCCCAAAACCACAATAAAGTCAGTGTCTGTGAAGCGATACTTCTCAGGTCGATAAACACTGTTAAGACATCTGGAGGATATGGACTCATTCAAATACATGCGAAAAACTGCGAGATTCTAAACCTCGGATGCCATCAGACTTTCCAACGGGACAGTCTTAAAGTCCAGCTTGGCTTCAAAGATCTTGGGAGATAAAAGGAGTGAACATAGCATTTTTTGACTTAATTTATATAAAAAAATATCCTGTGGGATATAAAAAATGATTGTTGCAGCATACAAATCTCAAGATATTTATAAAGCTGTAGGTCTTTGCCGATGACAGTGGGGATTACGGTTCCTGCCTCTTACAATAAATCAAATTAACACTAGCTCATAACAGGAAAAATGAATTGGCTGAGACTGTAACAACTGTTGAAGTATTTTCTTACCATAACTGTGAGGATGTGCTGAGTTCTGGCCTCATAGTCCAGTCTGTCTGCAGTGTAAACGACCCCTGTGCCAGGATTGACCCTGAACAATCTCATACTTGCAGGATCAACACTTCCATAGATGGAAAAGCTCAAACGGGCACGCTCATCCATGTCTGAAGCTCTGAGTCGAAGCAATTCAAAGTCAGATGGTGCATCCTCAGACACACTAACGTCATACGCCGGCTGTGAGAAGACCGGAGGGTTGTCGTTGCTGTCTTGTATGCGTATGAATACCTGAGCAATGAGGAGATAGAAAAAGGAATTTATAAACTCAATGAATTAAGTGGAAATTAGAACTGTGTAATAGATTTTTTTAAGTGTTTTTTTTTTTTTTTTTGTGGAAACACTTCTCTTATTTAAGTGAGTATGGTGACAGTTGAGGGTAAGATAAAGGAAGCACTTGAAAATCCAAAAAGAAAACTGTCACAGGCTTCAAAAGACTAAATGTAGAACATTCATTGTCCAGCAGAACAACAGCACTAAACTTAAAATGACTGTAACAACAGAATGGTTTACATCAAAGATCAATCATGTACTAAATCAAACCTATCAAACACAAAACCTAAAGAAATCGGAAAATAGTTGACAATTTATGGATGCTCTTGTTCCAGTCTCTCCAGGGATGGGCTATCAAATGTGTAAAGCTGGAAGAAACAAACAGCTAAAAGAATTAAAACCACAACAAAAAGCTGTTCTAAGAACCATTAATACATGACAACCAAATCAAATTACATGCGACAAATTTCAAATTTCTTATAACAATTTATACTTTCCAATGGCATCAGAATTAGGTGCTAGTTGGTACTGGTGTGTCATATAAAATATCCCAAAACAAATCCAACTAACGAGTACCTGAGTGGTGGCAATGTTGGTCCCATCAGTCACCTGTACCGTCATGTTGTACACTGACTGAACTTCTGCATCCAGGGTCTTGGCCACGACAAGGGTCCCCACCCCAACTTGGAGGTCAAACTGCATATCAAAGCTTCCTAGTTTTTCCATAAACAGATAAATATATATAAATATATATACACAAACACGCACAACAGGAGACATTTTGCATTCACTTTCAGTGTTATACTAAGGTGCTCTAAGGTAATACTGTGTAATTGTTTTGGCCAGGCGCCTTCATCTGTTGCTGGAGGGTCTGTGAAATAAAATGAACTGAAATGCTTTGCAATGTAGCACTGAACCCACTTGGCAGCTTGAGAGCTGTTAACAGCCATACAAACATCTGTCTTATCACTCCAAAACACAACCCATCACAAAGATCAGAAACCCACAGCCGGGTCTTTTCCACAGGCGGTGAGTGTACAGTTTAGAAGCTTAATGTTTGATTAAAGTGAGTCACAGGACTGATATGTGTTAGGTATTCAGTGCCATCCTTCATCTTATCCTAGCTCCTCTCTTGAGACATCTTGGGAGTTGGAGCTCCCCTCAGCATATGAATACTGATTGGACATTTTTCAATGGATCTCTGAAGCATGTTGAGTGGTAGCAAACCGCTAAGACTCACACATTATTTATTTATTTATTTCCTGGGAGGTTGGCTGGTCAGTTTTATGACAGGCAATCAATTTCATAGCACTTTGAAAAACAAAAGCTTGTAATATCCAGCAAGTTTTTTTTCGCTCCTTTTTTCTGCTTGTAAGTTTTAGAAATTATCCATATAAACATACTGTGACAAGAAAATCTGAATAGGCAATTTGATTTGCACAGATGCTATGTGTCTATTATTTCATATTTCACACTTTAGTCACAAACTATGAGCCCGTGTGATCAATATGTCTGATTGCAGGGAAACACTGAAAGGAGAAGACATGACTAATACATCTTTCAATCTTATTGGCGCGCCTGATAAGGATAAATGAAAATCTTTAAAATACATACCGCTTTATTTTAACAGCATTATTTGACTTTGAAAATTGGATAAAAGTCTAACCTTGGGTCTGACAACCTCTATTTAGAGAAGAAAGATAATATCTGTATGTAAACAAAATAAAATCAAATGTAAATCCCTTTATGCTCCCACAATGGGGAAATTCACTCTCTGCAATTGACCCATCCTCTTGGGGAGCAGTGTGGAGTTAAGGGATTTGCTCAGAAACCCAGAGTGCAGGCTGTGGTGATCGAACTGGATACTTGCAACCTTCTCAGAGCACAAGCACAGAGCACAAGCACACTGTTCTAACCATTAGGCAAACACAATATCTATGATATTTCAATAATATATAATCTTCCATGACATACCATTGAGGTCAATTTCTCTAAGTCATGTTTCAAAAGAATAAAAACACACACACAAAAAAACCAAAAAAAAACATGAGAACTGGTTTATTAAGTAAATCAAATATTTAATTTCACAATTCAGAAGCAGGTTTCAAGATTTTTTTAATTTAAGCTATTCAGCACCTAAAAATGCTAACTAGTGTGTAGGGGTGTGAGAAAAAATCCTTTTGGCGATATATTTCGATTTTTGGTTGCCCACTATATTGATCTTTCAGCTCCTAGTATCGATTTTAAAAAACAAAACACTTTTACTTAAAACAATGAGGGAAAATGGGCTACCTCTGCACCGCCACTCTGGCAGATAGTGCAGTGGAGCCTTGTTACTGTAGTTTAGGCAGTCACAGTGGAAGACGTGGACAGACTCAAACTTTCCATTTTTGTCTATACATTTACCTTTGATATAAAGTGCAAGATTGCGATAATATTGTATCATGACCCAAGTATCATGACACATATTGAATCGCAACTCCCATGCCAATACTCGCCCTTACAAGTGAGGCTGTACCCTGTTCTCTGAGTATGTGTCTGAGTATGAGTACCAGTTTAGGATGGTGAGTGAAGATTGCAGTTCCACATGTGGTCCTGAATGAGTAAAACTGTTTTATGTTTTTTGTTTATTTTTAACCTCTTCCATATTTAATGATCACCAGGCCATTTGGTAGAATGGTCACTGCTACACAAAGGTTCCAGTCTTCAATTTGTAATATATAAAACTATATATTCTTGCCATCATCCAATGAAAAAATTGAACCATGGCTGCTTATGGTCTAATCATCTTCAGGACTTTTTGTCAGTACCTTAAAAGTAGACTTTTAGAAAAAAATTAGTACACTTCTTGTAAATTTTCATGGAAGTGGAAAGCATTCCAATTAGAAGCACAACAGATTCACATTTATTCAGAGAAGCAGGAGCATTACAGCTGAACTAATGAAATAAACCTCCCCTGCCTGGTCAGTGAAAACAAACTGGTGCTGTTCGAGAATGAGAATGCTCTCTCAAACTCAGATCAATCAACACCGCCTTCAGCTAAACAAGGTCCTGGCGTTGTGTGCTACACTTCCTGAATCTTTGAACTCCTCCAAACCTGAGGCATTTAGGGAAGCGCTACAGAGCTAAATTAATTCGGACCAACCTGTGTCAAGAGAGCAGTTTCTTCCACATTCATTCTGTGGAATGTAGAAAACTTCTCTGGCAAGTCGACCGCCTTAACGAAAAAGGGAAAAAAAAAGATGATAAATATTCATGAAATCCTATCCAACTTTTGTTCGAACTCTAAATGATCTAAAGTTGTAAAGTCAAGCCCTTAAAATTATTTTGCAACAAAGCTGAATAGATTTACATCATTTTGGAAGAAGCTGAATTGTTCTAACTTGCAAAGTATATCTACTCAATTTATAAGTTAGCCAATAACAAATAGTTTTGCTATATTTCCCTGGTTGACAGACAGTGAGCAACATCTATAAAATGATTAAGCTTCAGGAATAGAAATGAATAATAAAGTAGACATTACATATTAAAAATTATTTTCTCAAACTATATATATATAGGAATAATTCCTATGAAAGGAAAAATGTTGTTTTGTAATGCACCTCTCTGAGCATGGGTCAAAATGACAAAAATAAACCTCTGTAAATTGCGTAGATTAAATTTTATCTATTCCTAATCTGAGAAACTGATCTTTGTTTTTCAATTTTTAATCTGATGTAATTGTGATTTGAAATAATTATGCTTTTCTGACATTTGAAAAAAAAATGGTTTGCATCTTCGACAAAAATATCAGCACAAGAACCCCTACTTACCAGTGATACTAAACCAGACGGGTGTGGTGGACTGGCTGATAGCCACCACTCCTACCGGCTGAGCAACTGCAGTTGTCTCTGCAATTGAGAAATTGTAGGATCTCTGGGTGAAGAGCAGGGGCACATGTGAAGGGACGGGTTTGCGAATCCATTCAATATGGAGTTTTACAGTAGACCATAATGGTGGAATACCGCTGTCCTCTGCCTTTATCTAAAAAAAAAAAAAAAGAAAAAATACAAAAAAGCAGACAACAATTTCACGAGTAGATTACATCTTGATCTACAGTTAACACTGAATGCATGTCATCTGGATAAAGCAGTTTATAGAATTCAGCTTAAGTAAATAAATGGCGCTTCATCTTGTTAAATAGCTTGCAATACCTTTTAAAACTTATGTCAATACAGCAGAGAACAAAAATAATTCAATGTAATATAAAAGCCAATATGCAATATGCTTGTAAATTTTATAGAAAACTAATTGAATAGTTTTCCAGGAGATCAAATCTGGTTGGTGCTGTCCATGTTAATGAAAAAGGCTACCTCATCAGACGAGACATAAGCCCCCCTCCTGAGAAACAAAAGACGAGCGCAACAATAAATGGCACAATGGGGCGGTGAGTAGCTAATCAGTGAATCAGTTGTAAAGAATTAGCCTTGCACTGACAACAGCCAGAGCTGCTATAAATTAACCTTGTGTTTGAGATGCTGATAAGATGTCAAGTTTACAAAGGGACCAAAATAATAAGGGGGATTTTGTGCCAGGAAACGTGACTTCAAAAAGGCAATTCTGTTACACATATCTTATAGTGCAGCCACTACATTTATTGGCTGGGTAAACTAGAAATATCTGGACTTCTGCCAGTGGAATACTGGAAAATATTTTTTTTTTCTCAGGGAACCTTGCCATGTTGTTCAAGCTGGAGTTATACAGAGGTAAAGCAAGAGAAATGGGTTTTATTTATTATGAGGCACTCACGGTGAGGATGTCATAGCTGCCTGCTGTGACCATCTTCTTTGAAGACACCATACCAGTCCTGGGGTCAATGCTGAACTTCTCATCCCCATTACCATCAATAATGCTGTATGTGATGTTCCCATTCGCTCCCGTGTCACGGTCGTAGGCAAAGACACGATAGACAGGTTCCCCTCGTTTGTTTCGGTCCCGTTCAGGCAAGCTGATGCGATAAGTGACCTCTGGAAAGGTGGGCGAGTTGTCGTTCTCGTCCTCGACGTGGACTATGACCCAAACAGTTGACTGACGGGTCGTCACTGGACCGTCGATTACAGTGACCTGCATTGGCAGCACACATGCAAAGAGATATACATCATATGATGAGAACATGCTTTGTCATTTCTGTGGGATTTTCTCTGCGAGCACATGCATTTATTGACATCTTAAATATTGCTTGTGCTGTGTGAGTGCAGGGCCACGTGGGGCAGAGGTCCCGGGAAATCTCTTTGTATTATTGATCTGCCTGAAGCAGAGCCAGAGGTCTGATCGCTGATCAATTGGATCAGATAAGGGTGAAAATCATTGTTGCCAGCCTGACTGCTCACTAGACTATTAATTACAGACAGGCAGCAAGAGCTAGACTGTAAATAGTGGATAGCGTAGATGGACTGGCATTTCTACTGAAATCGGATACCGAACGTCCCATTTCATTTAAGAGGCTTTCACTCTATTTTACAGTTTTCCTATTAAGTTTGTCTGTTTTAAAATACACTTTTCGCATAAAAAAATAGCATTTTAACTTAGGCTATTTAATCCAGTTTTGCACTATTGATGATGTAGCATCATTTATCGTGTTGTCTGGAAGCCTGTTTCAAAAGAGATGATCTAAGTAAGGCTAAAACCTAATGAATCAATTTTGCAAATTGATCAATTAATCAAAATAATCAATTAATAATGAGATAGCAAAAGATCCCTCAAAAAATACTTTTTACAGAATTAAACTAGGTGAAACTAAAACTTTTAAACTTGAGGAGTTCTAGATAGAGCTTGTTGACAGATGAAAACGTTTAATATTTTAAAAGCTAAATGTATATATATATAAATCTGATTGATTGATTCAGCCCTAGATCAAAGCCTTAAATAAAAATAAATTTGTATAATGAATGGACAAAAAACAGTATTTCTGCTGAAAACATGCAGAGGGTGCAACAGAGCTTATGCCTTGGTTATGGAAGATAGTTTGAACAATAAGTTAACAGCCAGACCTTTCAGGTAAACAAAGGTTCCCTTTATAGCCATACAGTGTATATTATGAAACAAATATATATCTTTGATGCTGTTTTTCCTCCCTTTTTTATGTTCTCTCTCAGTGCAGAAAACTGGCAATACCTGCAGATCATGTAATTAGCTGCAATTGAGACTCGTGTCTTTCCCTGTGTCTGGGTTAGATGAAGGAGAAAACAGTTAATACTTCAATTAGCCTTTCAACATGTGTAATGTTTGCTTGGAATTGCATTTTATTTCGAAACAACATACTTTGTGAGGAAACTAGCTACAGATGGTCTCATGGGCGCTGAGGCACTAAAGGTTTGCATGTATGAAAAAAGGTGCACATGGAATATCATGCATCAAGGAGTTGTGTCAACATCAGAAAGTAAACAAAAAATGCTCTCTTGCTTCTAAGCACAGAAAAGGGTAGGAGAAAACAAAAGGTGTTTTTTCATAAATGAATTTTTAAACAAGTAGTCATAAAGTTTTACACTATTATATAACCTCAGCCTATTTACCAAGGCAATATTAGCGTGCCTGTCTTCACTGAGAGCCTAGTCTCACCTTACATGGCAGTTGACTTCCCCTAGTGGTCTGGCACACTTCAGTTTTTTTTAAGTTTGCAACTTTTTTTAAACTTGCAGTTGTTTGATACTTGCTGTTCTTTTTCCTTTGATCCAATCTGTGATTGCAGAATTTTCTCATGCAGCGTTTTTGTGTTGCAATTGATTTTTCTTGTCAGTTTTTGGTTTTGCAGTATGTTTGGCATTGGTGGCCTTCAGCTGTTTGCCAAACATTTGTGCCATTTTTTCAAAAAAAGCAGGGCAAAAATATCACCTTTAACATTATTTAAAAGAATGAGAAAAACTGAGTTCTCTACTCATTCAAATAAGGATTTTAAGGTTTTAGGAAGAGACATGATTTTGCTTTGAAAAATTGAAATAATGACAGTGACTGGTTGTGACACTTGGATTTACCCAGATGCAAGAAGCTACTCCATCATATTTGTGCCTCTAAGTCATCTGACAGTTTAGTTCATTTCACACCAACAGATAAGCTCCTTGCTGTTCTACTCGTTCTGTATCGTTGCCACATAGCAATCATACATATCATCTGTGCACAGTGCTTTTGCAAATTGTTGATAATTGCTCATAGGAAATAAATCCAAGATGCTCTCCTGAAGCCTCTGTAGTGACAGCTGGTAAATGGTAAATCCTCATTTTATTATGGAGGTCTGCACCACTCTTGAAACTTTTATTAATCTTAGATCAGCAGCAGCATGAACACTAACTGTCCTTTCCATTTCATTTGCACAATAAGTTTAGGGCTTTTTTTTATTTTGGATCTCAGTAGCCCAATGTGTTTGAGTGGACAGATTGATGATGCTTCAGGATTTAGCTTTATGACAGCTTTTTCATAGCTGGAAATAGACTGATAATGTGAAGAAAAGTTTTACCTATACATTGACTGCACTGCTTGTTAATGTGTAAAGATGTCTTTTCTGAAGGGCATTATAAGTTAAAACTGCAGCATAAAGTGCAAAATGTATAATGATACTGCCATAATATTAGTTCACTCAATTATCTTTTTGATTTCAAATGTCCATTTACCGTTGTGGTAAAGTGCAGTCAGATAGAAGTTACCTTAGAGGTTTTGGTTCACTAGCTCAGGCTAAGTTTCCATGGTAGAGCTCTCAGGCAAAATGTCTCCTGTCTTCCTCCTCCCTCTCACTGAACTAAACCACCAGATAAATCTTTACTTTATGATTTTGAGTTCAATCTGAAAACTTTAATATCCCTACTTTTCTCTTGACTCAATAAATCAATAAGTCAATTTTCATTTCTATAGCAAATTGTTTCACAGGTAAAATAGGTAATAAAATAGTAAAGCAAGAGTAATAAAAAAAAAACATAATGTCAAAGTATAAAATAAAGCTATAAAGCAGAAACAGAGATAATTACATTGCTGGACTAATGCTCCAGCTCCCCAGAATTAAAAGCTAATTGAATGGATAATGTGTTATGCCCTGAGACCTCAGGTGGACCATGTAAATATAACACCATTACTTTTCTCTGCATGCATGGTTTTGTTAAATGCCTTTCTTACATTTCTCATTTTCAAGATCAACATGTAAAACTACCACAAACAACAATCCAGACACAAATTAGAAGAAAAAGTAAAAAAAAAAAAAAATTACATATGCCTGTTAAATGAAGCTTGTCTTAATTTGCTATTGCTGCTTCCACCTTGTAGTGCATTTTTTTTATCAGCTAGATCCCAAATTAGAGCAGCAGCTAATGAAAGCAGTAAGTGTCTAGACAATTCAGGTGGCAGGCAACACATACAACCATGACACCAAGCAGCAGAACTGTGGGTCATCTTCAGGTTATTTTATTCCATTTCCAACAAGGGCAAAGTGCTTTTAGATTCATTAAGATTTGATGACTTGTAAGAAAAGTCTGTGGAAAAACAAGTTTGCTCATGTCTCTAATGTCAAGAATCTCTGATTATCAGGTTAATCTGCATGCAGAGCAGGGGCTGCAACAGAAATGGTAATCACAGAGCTATCTGTATGCCCAGTCCCTGCACCTATCAAAATGCTGGACAGAATGACTTGCTCCTCTCTCTTCTTCCATCCTCAAGTGGAAAAGATAACCAATGGTGAGTGATTACATTTGGAAAATCCTAAAACGCAAGAGCCCAACACTACAGTCATTCATCACATTTTATGGAGCCTTCAGGACCTGCCAAGGTTGTCCTCTACCCTGTCTTTGTTCATAGCAGGCTGTGGCAGGTGGCAGGGCAGGAAAAATAATAATACAATAAACTATGGAAGCTGTTCAGTTCTTACTGTACCTCTAAAAAGTGCTCTGCTTGATGTTCTCTGTCCAGTTTCCTCGCAGTGGTTGTTATCAGACCTAAAAATGATAACAGAGGAACAAAAGATAAAAAAAGATAAAACACTTATTGCAGGGGATACATTATGCTGTTCATGTCCTTTCTCTGAGTAGATAAAATGAATTAAAAATATGTTTTAATATTGTAAAATATAAAAAAAAGATATTTAAACCTGGCTCGACCTTATTGATTCAAACACAAAATTATAGCCTGCAGTCCTGGCAAAGGCTTTCACATTTGGGACATGTTTTAGAGCTTTGCGCAGCTGAGGGTCACTCGGTTAGCCAAAAAAGCCACCAGAGCAATTCTAGCAACAAATAAAAGTCTGTATTAAAGCAGATTATTCAGATAGCATGAGGGTTTTGTGAAGCACAAAAGAGATCAAGTCAAAATGAAATCAGAAGTTAGAACCTTTTGGAACAATTTTCATAAGCCATTTTAGTATGACTCATTTTGAGATCTTTACTTAATGGATTACTTAGTCACTTCATAACAACAAATCTAATAATTCTGAACCAGATCCTACATAATCAGATACTACTAAAAGATAATGATACTGTTATTCACGCAAAGATAAAAAGGGTGTATTGGAACAGTATCTATATAATCATCTACATATGTAAGGCAATACATTTAGCTATTTTTACTTGATGTAAAAAAGGTAAATTAATTTGATTCATGAGAGTTAGCCTTTTTATATGATACAGTATTTGTCGAAGTATGACTTTATATTAACATTGAAAATACAGCAATACCAAGAATGCATGCTCTAATTTCATGAGTAGTTTAAATTAATTATGCTATACAATACATTATTGACTATAACCAAAGTTGCATTATACCTTTTGGGACATTCATTCTTTCCTTACGTAATGCTTGCTGCTTTAATACCTGCTTGCAAGACCCAGCTTTTAGGAGATGGTTAATAATTTACGCTTGCTGTGTATAATAAATAGCACATGTCTTAAAGAATCTGATTTCTTTTTTGGATTAAATATGGGTGTTTTTTTTTCATCTAAATTTATTTGAGTATGTGCACAAAGCAGCTGGATTGTTTGTGCAGTGCAGGGTACAAGTCCTTCTTTACAAGGGATTACTAACATATGTGCACTGTGGTTTTTCTCCAGTTTTACACCTGCAAAAACTATGCAAATAATTTGTGACTTCCAGCTTTCACATAAGAACATGTTTTGGACTTTACTTGCATAGAGATCCTTAAGTTGACCATTTTTAATCGTGTTAATATAATATCAGGACCTCAGCAATAATGCTGCTGAGAAAATCCCACACACAGCAGTTGGGGACTGGGAGGCTAACTGGGGTAACTTGACCTGAATGACACTGTTTTTACGTAACATCTGTACTAAGTACACATTATATTTCCTCAACATCAATCGTACTGGGACAAAATTAGAAAGAACTGGCATCAGCAGAGCCAGGCTCCTGTGGGACTTCAAGACAGACAGGCAGCTGCTGACAAACAGAGCTAAGAATCAGGAGATGTGCTCTGTCTGTCTGTCTGTTTGTCTGTCTGTCTGTCTGTCTGTCTGTCCGTTTCAATTTATTTTAATTCCATTTTAAAATACAGCGGCAATTCAATACATGTCATCTAAAGACACTTAACAATCAAATCATCCAGATTAGTAGAAAATGGTCTATCAAAGGAAACTTAACTGATTACATCAAACCATTCACAGCATGATTCATTAGTAGTATATTTTTACTGTATGAATTCAGAATTGGTTGCTTTAACACACTTGTTAATATTGCATTATTTGCACAAAACAATGTCTTTGAGCTAAATGATTAACGTCAATGCACCTCAATGGGGATTTTGTTTTTGTTTCAATGTAATGAAGCATTGAAAAGAAATGGTATTGCTTGGGACGTTTTAAACACTGTGCAGCTTACACACCCGGTAAGTGCACTGAAATCACGCCCACATATACACTCACACTTTTCCCTACTAGCACATATCACAGTGTCACCTTGGGCTTGCTACGCAGGCTAACTTCAATTAAGCAAATTAGGAGTAAATCTAGAGCGGCGCTCACAAGCTATGGGGGAAGGAGGGGCTTGTTCAGCAGAATACAGGGCGAGTTAACAACCCTGATGAAAATCAATGATTTACAGCTCACTGCATATCTGAGCTTAAGCAACACTCTATTCTAATTAAACATATGAGGAAAATGAGAATAGAAAAAATTAGGGTGATGGTCCAATGAACAGCCTCATATTGATACTCAGATTAAAGTTCAGAGCAATCTTAAAACTATAAGTCACATGCTTTCATTGATTTTATATGGAGTAACATAGAAAATCCAAACCATACAGCACAATGGGGAGGATAACTTTTTACTATAAGGCTCCACAAAAAAAAAAAAAAACATAAAAAAATTGTATTGCTATTAAAACAATTTCTTCCTTTTTTTAATATGTTGAAATTCTGTTAATAAAAAACACTGAGCTCAATTTTTGGATAAATTTTTCTGTTGCATTTTAATTATTCATCATGTACTGGGTTATGTATTTACGCTTTCAAATATAATGCACGAGATACATGCCAATGTCTAATGATGTGCATTTGTACTAAAAAAGTGGATGCATGGATGGTATAAACATATGTATATTTCTTGCATATTTCATCAGATCCCAAACAGATGCTGGCTGTCACTTACCTTATTGTGTGCTTTTTTACGGACCTAACACCAATCATTGTCAGCTGAGGCCTGTACTAAAGGACACACGGCCACCAAGACTCTATCTTCCACTGTGCAGACATATATGCTCTTATGAGCAGTGCTCAGTGTAACACCTTTTGTCTATTGTGTTTTTTATTTTATTTTTTTACCCAAAAGGAATCACCTCCAATCCTACAGCCAGAACCTAACAGTCAGCACTCTAAACTGTCACAGCACATTTACACACTGCTCTCAATCAAAGTTCAAATTCAATGCAATTTGGGAATTGTTGCAGCTTCTCAAAGCCATCAAAATCAAAAGCTTCACACAGAAATTCATTACTTTGTTCCACCACAGACCTAGCTCTTCAAAACAATTTGGAAGTTTACCTGCCAGAGGAGGAGATGGGTTAATAACGTTATAAACACAGACTTCACAAAGTAAATCAATGTTGTTTATTTATGTGCTCAATAGCACACAGAATGTTTCTGACTGTAAACAGGGAGAAATAATTCAGTCTGAGTGTGTCTCCTACGCATGCATACTCTATCTTATTGCTGCACATTCACTGCCTTTTACACTACCCTAAAAATCAGGTTTACTTATACCTCCTACATCACACAATTAAACCTCATATTCTCAATGTATCCTGTACAATTTATCTGGTTTATACAAGTTACTTTTACCATTTTCTTTTATATTTCCTAAATGCCAGAATAATGCCAGATTATTTAAGCAGTATTTCTTAAATATTCAATTTCCATTCACTGAAATTGTAATGCCTTTAAATATCTTTTTTGATCACAAAAGATGATCCTAGGTCTTCTGATAGGTTGGCTTAACATATTTAAGTCAAATGGAGACTCACAGTTAACGTATATAAAGGATCACCTGAAACAAAATGTGACATTATTGAACAAAGAAAAGAAAATTGCTCTGATGAGACATGGGGTAAATAACCCTTGATCTACACAAATTGGATCATGTTATGATTTCCATATGTCTGAGTTGCCATATTCATAGGTTTTAACAACTATACAGAAGTTTTAAAACACAGCAGGGATCAGGCCACAATACCATTCAGGAAGTTGATGGTGTCTTAAAAAAGTCTGAAACAACCTCATAATAAAGGCAAATAATCCTGTGAAGATGCTGCATTAGATTTAGTTGAAGTTACGTATGTTGGTTTTGGTTTTGTTTAGGTTTTCTTTTTGACTTTTCATTGGTTTCATTTCCATTTTGTGTTATTCTAGTTGCATTTGAGTTCTTCCCCTAGCTCCCTTCTACATGCTGCCATCCACACCTACCCCTTGTCAATTTATTAGCCCAGTCTTTGTTCAATCTCCCATCTATAATCCTCCTCTTGAGTTACTCTTTGCTGGTTTCTTGTCATTTCTTTGCTCCTCATGTGTGTTTCCCCCGATGTATCCTGGGTTTTTGGTTTTCTGTTTTGGTTTTTGGACTTGCTTCTGTTGCCCTTTGGATCTACATTAAATCTGCAAGAAACCACCTCAGCTTCCTTCTCTGCATTTGGGTCCTCTAAAAACCTCCACACAACCTGACATATGAAACGTTTTTTTGTTGCTGTTTTTCACCTCAGAGATGTTAAAAGGCAACTACTCTGTACCTGCCTACTGCCTGTCACTGATTGACCTACAGAGATAGGGACTGTGACTGCAGCCTTGTAGAGAAAAACAGGTGTGTAAGAAAGAAAATCTCTCTGATTTAAATCTTGGTTTCAAATTTGAGTATATTATAGTCATGATTTATAAAGATTAGCATAGGTATAATGCATCTAAAAGAAAATAATAAATTTATCCTAAGTTTAGCTTCTTCTCTCTTCCTCAGTTACACTTGACTTCATCTTGTTTACACTATTGATCACACAGTTTTTGCTGACACCGAATTGATTCGGATTCACATAAAAGGGGGTTTATTTGGGGTGCCAATCATGCAAGAACAGTACTTCTTACACATCAGCGCTCACCCATTGTCTCTTCTTACGTTTCATGTGGTGAAGCAGTAAAGGAGTGTTTTTTTCTTAGCAACCATGTCCTGATAAGCATTTGGGAGACATTGAAGAATCAGATTCTTACCCAGGGAAAGTTCTACATGAAGCCCCTGTCACACCTTGACGATTTAGCCAGCTTATGCCTGACGTCCCAGAATCTTCTAAAATGCTGGCATACGCTGAACATTCTATGTATTTTTTCAATTTCGGGCAGATACATAGAGTATTCATAACGAGTCCAGAACTTATGTCCAACGACAGCTTAACATATGCGTAACGCACGGCAGCGTGACGCCCATGATATTTCCAAGCCAGTGTTCTGAGGGGG